GAAGTAAATAATAGATATCAATTTTTTAAAAACATTTTAGTGATATAAGTGAATAAATATCAGTATTAATATTGCCCAAAATCTATCAGTATTAATAATTATATAATATATTTATGATATGGATATGAATCTTGTTTCGAAAAACTTTAAAAACCAAAAAGCAAACAATACATACGGTGATGGCGGGTTTCGTTTTAGTTTTAATTTTCTAAAAGAAATATAAAAAAAATATCCCGTGGTATTTTTTAAGAATGAGCTATGGGTGTAATTTTTGTTGTTGAGAATAATAGAGTCACCCGTAGCGCTTTCTCAACCAAATGTAGAGCTGGGAAACAGGGCCGGCCCTTCAGGGCTGACGGGTTTAAAAGGGCCGGCCCTCCAGGGCTGAAATTTTAAGAATACCCCAATTTGCTAGGCCCGGCCCTTAAGCTACAGGGCCAGGGCTAGCCCGCGAGGTTTTGGCCCGTTTAAGAAAAAATACTATTTTTTATATTTATCATATTTTTTAATAAAAATTTAAAAATAAACCAATGAAATTATTAACAAAAGACATAAATATGAATAAAATTAAGTCACAAGTATAAAATATCATCATATATAAATATTCATCAACATCTAAGAACACCTAAAATATTCATTAACAAGATAACAACATCTAAAAGTTTTATATATAATGCAATTGTGCAATAAATAAACACTATCATTAATCTTTTGAAACTTCATCATCGCTATAATTAATTACTTTTCTTCATAAGTATGCTTTTCTTTCGTAACAAAAATATCAAATTTTTCTTCTTTATAAGAATTTTATTTTTAAATTTTGCAATCTAACTATTATTTTACTTTAATGTGAGAAATATTGTTGTTGAAACTCATGAATTTCTAATTCAAATTATAGAATCACGAGTTATATAAGTATAAAAATATTCTATTATCAAATATATATATATAGTTTAAAAATATCAACGCATATAATATAAATCAACTCATTATTAAAGTCCAACTTAACTCATTTTTTAAAAATTTAATTGGATAAATTATTGTCTAAAACTAAATTTAATTTTAAAATGATAATAATAACTAAATATTTGAAATATTATTAACAATGTAAAAAATTAATAACATTAATATTATATAAAAAATTTTAAAAATTATAAAAGGGCTTAAAAGGGCCGGCCCTGCCTCCAGGGCTTATTTATCATTTTAAGAGAAAAATATCAAGCCCGGCCCTCATAATTTCAGGGCCTAAACGGGCCGGCCCAATGGGCTTGGCCCATTTTCCCGGCTCTAACCAAATGCCACCAGATGCGCTTTTTTTTTTTTAATCCTAATATCTCCTCAAGCCCAACTCTAGCCCTAGCTTCTTTTCCTGTAGCCGTCTTGCTCTGTTCCTCTTCTCCACTTCTCTTCTCTCGAGAAGTCTTCATCCTTCCTTCTTCTCACTCTCATGCCTTCCTTCTTTCTCTTAGCCCACCATCTTCTCTATCTTTCTCTCTCATGCCTCCATTCCGCTTGTGGCATTTCGCTCTGCTCTATGGCTCTCCTCATCTAGTCATATTCAGGTTCACTCTCAACCTCTCTGCGTTCTCGCATTCGCATTTCATTGCTGGTATCACTTATCAGTCTTTGTGAATCTTTGTGTTTTTGCCCCTTAGTGGAAGATCTAGAAACATAGGAAAGTAATTTTTGGAATTGTGTTTATCTTTTTGTTTGATTTCTCATACAAGTTTGAAATTTTAGGCATTTGTGCGTTTTTTTCTTTCAAGTGCTAAATAAAAAATGTTATTTTTTGTTGTTGTACATGAATGATTTAATATTTGAATCTTTTTAGGGTGGTTATAGAGCAAAGATATCAACATATTATGAGCAACTATACTCAAATTGAAATGTGCTCTTTTTTTATCTTTTGCTTTTACAGCTTTTTCCTTTATGAAGATAAAGGAGTTTGAAGATTCAGAAAGAAAGAAGATGAATTTCGGCAGAACCCAACCAACAAAATGCCTAGGAGATGACTAACCGTCTCCTACGAATGGATTACATTTTTTAAAAAAGAAAAAAAGCACCTATAGTGCTTCTTCAAATAAGCTACAGCTAGGGCTAAACATAAGCCAAACAGAGCCGAGCAGGGCATTAGCCCATGGTCTGGTCTAGTTTGGTCTTCAGGATGGTCGTTTTAGCCCGAAGACTAGTCCAACCTGGTGGAGAACCAGCTATCTATCGGGTTGGGCAGACTAGACCGGGTTAATGGTCTAGTTTTTTTTCTCACCAAAGGTTAATGATCCAGTTGGGTTAGAAAAATGAGTGTGACGATGCAGTATGAAGATTAAAAATTCATACATATATAAAGAATTGTAATATCCTAATATTAATATATATATATATATATATATATAAGAGTCAACTTTCCACCAACTTTCAGTGGAAAGTTGAAGTGTGAAGGTGGAAAATTTGGAGTAGCATGGAAAGTTGAACATAAATGTTGAAAATTGAAGGATGAGAGTGGGAGTTGGGGGTCGGGAGAGGAATATGAGGGAGCATAATAAATGTGTGGGAGTGTTATTTTAACACTCCCCCCCCCCCAATCTAGTTCCCCAGCGCGCAAGAAGGAAAGAGAGAAAGAGAGTTAGAGTGGGTGAGAGAGAGAGGAGCAGACCGGTGAAGGAGAAAACAAGCTTTGAAGATATTTTAGGTACACAAAATTACTTCTTTTTATTAATCTTTCTTTATGAATATTTTCTGTATATTTTGAGCTTCCTATTTAAATTATTACTGTAGTTATTGGAGAAAATTTGAGACTTATATGATATAAGTATTGAGTTTTGACAAAAGATAACTATAGAAATTTAGAAGTAAATGAGTTGTTAATTTTAATCGGTTTAGATTTCTCTATTTGTTAGTTGTAGTATTTAAATTAATTTATTTAGTTGAAAATCTGTTATTTATGGAATATATCATATTTTTACCGATTAAATTCAAGTTAAATAATTTATTTGGATTGTTTGATATATTATTGAGATTTAAATAGTTTAGTTTTATTTATTGGGTGAATGGAGGTTTTAAAATAATTATTGTAGCTAAAATTTTTATTATTTACAGAAATATATATATGGTAGTTATACCATTAAAGTTTTGATTAGATTATTTATTTATAAATATTTGAAGTATTATTGAATTTTTGATAGTTTGATTTTGAGGTTTAAACTTAAATGAATATTTTTAGAATTTAGAACGTATTCAACGTAATAATTTTATATTTGGAAATTGTTGAAAATCCTTTTTATTAAGGTAAATAATTTGGAGGTGGTAAATAAATAAGGGAAAATGACAAGAAAATGACTGTTGAATTCTGAAATGACAAAATGGGCATGGGGTATCAATCTGGAATTTGGATAATTCGCCAAAAAGGCTGAAATGCCCCTGAATCAGTCTGAACACATGAAGAACAAAGACATGACACGTAACAAGAGGGAGAGCTCAGAAGCTGAAAACGGAGGTGGAGCAGAGTTGAATGCTAAGAAGACGAAAAAGGTAAGGAAAATTTCTCCTAAAATGCTCTTATCTACTCTAACTTTCACCATTCTACAAATCTGATTTATTATGGTGGAATTGCTTTGTGGGCAACCTGGTTTGTAGTGAGAGAGGGGTTGAACGTGGGTATTACGTAAGAAAGTGGAGCTTAATGATGGGTTTGGGTTTTCAAGTCGGTTTACTGGTACATGGTCTAATGGGGATGGGTTTATGAGTGTAGATGGTTTAAATGAAGAATCTGACCAGGATGAGAGAGTGATACATCGAAAATGGAAAAATGGTGGGAACTGATAACGTGGGCATGAAGTTTGAGGGCTAACAGTAAGCATGAGGTGGTCAGTGTTGTCAAATTCATTATTGGAATTGTGAAATCCCATATTTAAGTTGTCAATGCAGCAAGTGTGTGCGCGCGTTTTTTGGGTGTTGCATTTTTTGTGAAATTGTAAGAAAAGTTTTGAAATCCTGATAAATGAAATTGATTATTGGGGAACTAAAATATTGATTTATGCTTCTCTGGTGCAGGTTAGGTAGCTTTGATGACATCTAACATTGGGTCAACATCTTCAAAGCGTCTTGCTTGTTACTTTCATGTGGGTGGGAAGTTTGCAGAAAATGGTGATGGTGAAGTTAAGTACTATGGTGGAACTGTCAGGGTAAGAGTGATCAAGGAGGGTATAAGGCTTGAAGATTTGAGGGTTATGATAGGAGAATGGTTTGGTGTAGATAGTAATGGTTGCGACATTAAATACACATTGGGCTTGAATGATAGGATATTAATAGATCTTATTGATGATGATGAAGTTGACAACCTATTTGAGTATAATGATAGTAATGCACATGTTTACGTAGCAGCTAAAGGTAATGAGAATACGGAGGAAGAAGTGGCTGATCGAAACAGGTAAGTCACAAGTTTCAGATTATGGAAGTTGTTACTTGCGATAATGTTGTTGTTAATATCATAACAAATGTTGTAATTATACATGCAGCATGTCAAAATTGTCGGGACTGTCACAGCAAAATGATGAGCCAATGATTGAGGATGCTGTCGAATGTGTGAATTACATAGCAGCTGAAAATGTTCTTAGCCTGCCATATGCAGTAGAGAGTGCACCAACTCCTTTGCCAGGAATGAATTCCCTGAAATGGAAGACAGTATTGTTAGGATTGAGGCAGACTTTTCCAGATGCGGATGATTTCAAGAAGAAACTACACAAATTCAGCATTGCAAACAAATTTGAGTATAAATATGTGAAGAATTCTAATGCCCATATGTATGTCAAATGCAATGTTGAAGGTTGTCCATGGAGGATCAGTGCGAGAGCAGCTGGAAAGAGTACTCCAGCATTTTTACGTGTAACGACATTAAAAATGAGCATGTTCATAATGCCCAAGACAATCTTCACGTGACACATGGTGGATCAGCTAGCTTGACATCATCAATTATAATTGAAGAGGTTAGGGATCATATAGACATGCGTCCAAATGATATAAAAAAGAGGTTGGAAAGAGATTATGGTGTGAAGTTGACATACAAGCAAGCATACAGGGCCAAGGAAAAAGCGTTGGAGGACATACATGGCAGACCTGATCAAACTTACATGCTTATTCCATGGATATGTGACCGGTTGAAGGAAACCGATGACAAAACAGTGGCAAAATGGGTGGCTGCAAGGAACAACAGATTTGAGCGTGTATTCATAGCCTATGGGTGTTGTATAGAGGGTTTTATTGCTGGTGCTAGACATGTACTGTATATTGATGGAAGTCATTTAAGTGGACCGTATAAGGGGACACTACTTTCAGCGTCGGCTTATGATGCGGACAACGAATTATTACCTTTTGCCATTGCGATTGTGAAGGGAGAGACGCTTGAGGATTGGACATGGTTCTTACATATGATTAAGGAGATAGTTGGGTCAATGCAATTAACAATCATTTCAGACCGACACAATGCAATTATAGGTGCTGTGCAAGCAATATTCGGAGGTGAGCGACATGCGTACTGTTACAGACATGTTAAGGAGAATTTCAGTACACAAATGATCAAGTTAAATAGAGGAAAAAGGAAGACAAGTGGCAACACAAGGGAGGATGGACTGCATTTCCTAGATGCCATTGCATATGCAAGGCTTGACACAGAGTTTGATCAAGCAATGGATAACATGAGACACTTCAATTCCCAATTATTTGAATGGCTTGTCAATCATGGTGATATTCACAAGTGGGCCTTAAGCAAGTTCCCTTTTAAACGATGGGACAACATAACAACAAACCTTGCAGAGTCATTCAATGCGTGGATGCTGAAGGAGAGAAGATATAATGTTGCCCAACTTATACATGAGCATCGTGAAAAAGTAGCCAAGAAGATGTATGCAGCAAGCATGGCAATGAGCAAATGGAAGAATGGTGTAGGCCCAAATACAAATGCAACATTGATGGAAAATGTGGCGAGATCTGCACAGATGTTAAGTGTTCCTTACGGAAGGGGTAGGGTGTGTGTCCATACAGCAAAAGGAGCCATTAATGTTGATCTTGAAAAGGTGAATGTAGCTGTGCAGCTTGGCAAATGTCAGGCATCCCATGCCCACATGCATGTGCAGCTATCAAGGCCTTGAATTGCAATGTGTATGATTTTGTTGAAGAATGCTACAAGATTACGTCCCAACAAAAGATTTATGGTAGGACGATGACTCCAGTGGTGACAATCGACATGCCAAATCCTAATAACTATCGGCTGCAAGATATAGCAAGTCAAGTGTTTTTGGCACCACCTTTGACTAGTCGACCGCCTGGAAGGCCTAGGATAAATAGGCAAGAGTCGCAGTTTCAAAACAAGAAGGTGTACCATTGTAGTGCATGCCAGCAAGTTGGCCACACAAGAAGAACATGCAAGAATCCAAGCCCAACTTAAGGTTTCATGTCAATACCAACAGGGGTAATTTTTTTTTTATAGGAATGGAATGACTCTTGAACCCTTTTTAATTTTTTTGGAGAAGGGTTGATAGGTAGGCTATCTTTTTTGTTAATGATGTTAACTAGGTAGGAGATGTTCTGTAATCTGAATGACAAGAAAACATTAGGCGGTGGGTTAATCCTAATGTTAACTTGTCATTTGGATATCAGTTATGTAGCTTCTGTCATGGGCCTACTGGTTTTTGGTAAATATTATCACTTCAGTGGTCAATTCCTTTACAGATATAGTAAAGTCTGAATGTTAATGTAAAAATCGTATGATGGGTAGGCTATCCTTTTTGTAAATGATATTCACTGGGTAGGATATGTTTTGTAATGTGAATGACGAGGAAACATTAGGTAGTGGGTTAATCTTACTGTTAACTTGTCATTTGAATATAAGTTATGTAGCTTCTATGATGGGCCTACTGGTTTTTGGTAAATATTGTCACTTCAGTGGTCAATTCCATTACACATGTAGTAAAGTCTGAATGTTAATGTAGACATCCTATGATGCTCTTCAGGTGTACTTCTATGCTATTTTGTCAACACAGATGACCTTTTGTTTAATGCCCTCGAGGGAGATGGTGGAAGTTGCCAATGGGTATGACTGGAGTGGTTAATGTTATCAACGATGTTGTTATTCACATTACCAATGTTGTTATTATCATTTTCGGGCTAGTGAAACTCCCTGAAAATATGTTACTTGACTTTGAAATAAAGGAAGTGGAAGTGGAAAAAGCAGAGTGGTAAATATCATCACTAAAGTTGCATTTAAGATTTCCAATGTTGTCATTATCATTACGGGGGTAGTGAAATTTCGTGAACAATTTGATGCGTGGGTTTGAATCAAAGGAACCGGAAATGGAAAAAGCAGACTGTAAATCTCGTTACTGAAGTTGCAATTAACATTTTCAATGTTGTCATTATCATTACGGGGGTAGTAAAATTTCCCGAACAATTTGATGCGTGGGTTTGAGTTAATGGAACCGGAAATGGGAAAAGCAGACTGGTAAATCTCATTACTGAAGTTGCAATTAACATTACCAATGTTGTCATTATCATTACGGGGGTAGGAGCAATTAACATTTTCAATGTTGTCATTATCATTACGGGGGTAGTAAAATTTCCCGAACAATTTGATGCGTGGGTTTGAGTTAATGGAACCGGAAATGGGAAAAGTAGACGGGTAAATCTCATTACTGAAGTTGCAATTAACATTACCAATGTTGTCATTATCATTACGGGGGTAGTAAAATTTCCTGAACAATTTGATGTGGGTTTGAGTTAAGGGAACCGAAAATGGGAAAAGCAGACTGGTAAATCTCATTACTGAAGTTGCAATTAACATTACCAATGTTGTCATTATCATTACGGGGGTAGTAAAATTTCCTGAACAATTTGATGCGTGGGTTTGAGTTAAGGGAACAAGAAATGGGAAAAGCAGACCAGTAAATCTCGTTACTGAAGTTGCAATTAACATTTCCAATGTTGTCATTATCATTACGGGGGTAGTAAAATTTCCTGAACAATTTGATGCGTGGGTTTGAGTTAAGGGAACAAGAAATGGGAAAAGCAGACCAGTAAATCTCGTTACTGAAGTTGCAATTAACATTTCCAATGTTGTCATTATCATTACGGGGGTAGTAAAATTTCCTGAACAATTTGATGCGTGGTTTGAGTTAAGGGAACCGGAAATGGGAAAAGCAGACTAGTAAATCTCGTTACTGAAGTTGCAATTAACATTACCAATGTTGTCATTATCATTACGGGGGTAGTAAAATTTCCTGAACAATTTGATGCGTGGGTTTGAGTTAAGGGAACCAAAAATTAAAAAGCAGACTGGTAAATCTCGTTACTGAAGTTGCAATTAACATTTCCAATGTTATCATTATCATTACGGGGGTAGTAAAATTTCCTGAACAATTTGATGCATGGGTTTGAGTTAAGGGAACCGAAAATGAGACAATTTCCTGAACATGGGGATGCAAATGGGGAAACCATAGTGGTAAATCTCATTACTATAGTTGCAATTTCCTTAACAATGTTGTGATTTTCATTACCCAGGTTGTGAAATTCTGTGACAATTTATATGTGGGGACGAAAATGCAGTTGCAAAAAGCAATAGCGAGATGGTAACAATCATTAAAAAAGTTGCAATGTTCATTATGAATGTTGTGTGATTATCATTACCGGGGTAGTGGATTTCCGTTAAAAAAGTGTTACTTGGGTATGAACATGCAGAGTTGAAAAAGGTAATAGGAAGATTGTAACTATCATTACACAGGTTGCAATTATCAGTACGAACGTTGTCATTATCATTACTGGGGTAGCGAAAATGGATTCAAAAAACATGATTTGGGCTTGAAAGACTTCAGATGCAAATGGCAACAGCGATGTGGTAACTATCATTACAGAGGTTGCAATTCTCAATCCGAAAGTTGTTAATCCTATTACTTGTGTAGTGAACCTGGGTCCAAGTGGATGTAATTTGGGGCACAAATAATCAACTTGTGATTATCATCACGGAAGTCACATGGCATGTTGTAAATACCATAACTTTTTTACTCAAATTATCCCAAAAAGGATTGCAATTAGGCCAACAACTGGCAGCCACTTAGTACCTTCAACCATAAGTCAAATATTAAGACTTCAAACTAACACTGCTTTTACAAGTACTATATGCCTAATCTACATAATGTCTCCTCCTATCACAGATGCCGTCTTTTGGTCAGTGTGGTGGCTTGGGTTGATGAAAGCAAGCTTAATGCTTCATCACGTCTTGAATTAAGCTCATGATTCACTAGCCACCACATGAGGTTTCGTCGGAATTCAGCCACTTGTTCATCCGTATAGTGAAGTATCTCACCGGGCTTCCATTTACTCAACCATATTAATACATGAACGCCGCAGTCTCGCCTGCACATGAAAACATCCCAACGATGTAAAAGAATGAAAATAACACATTGGGCTGCTTTGAGACGTAATAATATCAACAACATAAACCACTCACAGATTGTTTTGTTGCGGAACAGGAGCCCAAATGATATCACTCATTTTCTTCTTCCCAGTGGCATTAGGCTTAACTATCTCAATAATGTCATAAAATCTATTCCTCTGCACAATATCATTACGCAATTGTAAATAAAAGGTAAATGAAATGTCAATCATAGAAGATGAGTTGCATTATCCTTACACATTCAGTGACCACGGTCGTCATGTCATCAATAATTACACCCTTCTTCTTGCTCTTCTTCTTACCCTCTAAATTTGGCTTCATTGAGTCCAGCACATAGAAATTCATTGTGCTAGGCTCAAGCACAACACAGAACCAGTGAGCGCCAACAAGTGTGGGTCCAAAGATCAAATCACATTCTCCTATGTTGTAGCCTACATTTTCAGGTAAAAATTGTTTCTTCCGTTTTGTAGCATCCCACAGCTTTGGGTTAGCTGCCATTATTGCCTAAAACATGAACATTTTAGTCATTTATCAACATCAATCGACAAAAAACTAACATCTCAGCAAGCTTACCATAAAGTCAGCATAAAAAATGTGCCGCTTCACCTGCCCTTCCTTCTCCATATCAGCCATTAGAGTCTTGCACACAGTTGACATCAGCTGTACGCAAAGAGATGATTGTTTTGATGAACCCAAAACACAGCATCTACTAAACAATTAAATGACCTCATCACAAATATTCTACTTACCCGGTTACCTATTTTCTCAATTCCACCAAGTGTCCTTAGCTGATCCCGAGTGATATCTTCATCAGAGATTTTCACCAAAGGCCTAAAAATATGTTGTCAATATCATTATGCATGTAGTCAATTAGCACAAAACTGTAATGAATATGATTACGTGGGTAGTGGATATGTACATACATGTCACCCTCCTTGCTTGAACACATACGGGAAACTATGTCATAAAACCGGTCCTTGTCATCCATGGGCCTCTTTCGCCTCTTAATTGGCTTTGTCAAAATCCATGGAGAATTGATAGCGGATTTCATCTCCCTTTGCGACCTCCGGAGTTGACATCCCTTGTCCATGGGGGAAAAGGGCAGGGGAGACTCCATAATTTCTTTGTCTGCACCTTCTGCTGCAACACCGATGTCATCACCCCTATCTGAGCCAGTTGCATCATCGTCTCCCTGATCATCTCCCCCGTGGAACTCATCTCTATCATCACCTTCGTGATCAGACTCATGTCCATCATGATCATGGGGGTCCTCATCGCCAAATGCATCATCATCTCCCTTATCATCATCTGGGACGTCAATAGGGTCCTCATCATCTGTGGTCACATTATTTTCCTCTATCCTTATCTCAGCTCATCTTCCATTGCACTTATAAGCCTCCTAGTGCTTAATTCGATCTGAGCCATCAATCGTCCGTGCAACTTCTGTAACTCCTGCAGCAAACAATTTAAAATGAGTAAACACTTTTTTCATGAGATTATTTGCTAATGAGAATGAAAATTAGTAACAAAGCACATACCGGGTGTAAATGACCCACACTTCTGCGTTTTCCTTCATCCTTCCCACTTCTATCCATACTTCCCTTGCCCTTATACAGTAAACCCCTCTTGCTTTCCCTCTCCTTCTTTTCCAGCTTCCTTATCCTCTCATCAGTCCAGAATTGAATGGCATTTAGGGACCCTCTCTCAACAGTTTTGGATAGTGGGAAGTGCTCAGCAAAATATAACTACAACAGTAAATCATTAACTTGCCAATTCCACAAATAAAGAAAACAATAACTTAGAAGCATAAGTCAGAAATACATACCAACAGGAGGTAGATGCATCCTCCCACATTGCAGCTTCCTTCATCTTCATCTTCGTCTTTCTTTGCTTTTGTGTACACTTTCACATAATCTCCCATCTCTTTCCACAAGTGCTTCACAATGTACGTGGCCCAATCAAATTGGTGAAATCCCTTCATGGTACAGCACATGACTCTTATTAGCTTGTCACTCACAGTTGTTTGTGAAGTAAGAGTTAAAAAACTCCCAAGTGTGTACAGCATAAACAAGAACTCAAACTCATCTTTCTTCTGCCCAGATTTAATGTCATTGAGTATCTTCGTATAAGGGACTTTACCAAATTCCTCCTTCAACCTCTGGTATGTCTCATCATCATCACATACGTCCATTTTTACCTTCTCCCCTGTGTGGGGTACACCCAACAAGTTTGCAACATCATTTGCTTCTATTTCCTTTATTATCCCTCTTATTAGAAATTGATGGGTAGGCGGATCATATGCTCGGAGAACACATACTATGAGGTCACGAGGGAGTCTCTCACATCCAATGTCAAGTAAATGGCCAAAGCCTAAATTTTGTACCCTCACTTTCAAATCTTCATCATCTTTTATGAAGTCCACTAATGACTTAAATTGCCGAACCGAGCAACGAGTGCTAAAAGCCACTTTTTTCTTCCTCTTCTTCTTCATCCCTTCCTTTCTTGATTGCTTCACCCTATCACTGTATTTCTTCTGCTCCTCTGGTGTCAACTGCTTCCATGCCTTTGATGCCTTTTTCACTTGTTCAGACATATTCTTAAACTTCTCCCCACCCTTAAGAAATTCTCGTCTAAACAACATGTAGCCATTCTTCACTTCTTCACTTGGCCCTCCTTCTACAACAAGCATAAATAACTAAATCTGGTCAGTTGAACAGCTCAACTTTCTTTGCATTTCAAAAAAGTTGTCATTACCATTTCCAGTGTAGTCATTCACATTATAGGTGTTGTTATTTAGCCACAAAATGAACCTCGACTATTTACTACTCAGATAACTAAATTTGCTGATCACGTAATGAATGTTATTGCTTCTTTCTCACTTCACAGAACAGAGCAGAAAATAGAGACTAACGACATAATACACTTTAACAACAAACTAAAAACAATCTAATCTTACCAAACCTATATAACTCAACCACTTAATTCCTATTACAACTGCATATTACCGTTTGTCGCAGTCACAGTTACTTCGCCAACCTCCTCCATGACAGCAATGCGATTGATGCTTCTCAGCACTTCAGCGACCTCTACCTCTTCAATCCTCAAACCAGCAGATTAATCTCTACCTCTTCAATCCTCAGACCAACAGATTAAAAAATAAATGAATATGCATCAAAAGTGATTCTTTCTCGATGAAATGTTACAAAATTTGCATCTTCAAGTAACTTATATTATGGAAATTACTACTACACAGTGCCACAGATGACCAAGTAAATAATAGCAATACATAAGAAGGCCACAAAGGTTATTCTCACTTGGTACATACTGAAATGAATATGCATGTTCATCCCCAGGTAAATTGCATCGCTAAATGACTGAGGTTATGCCCATTAGGTAGCTATATCTTCAAAACAGAGTTCTACCCACAAAGAGTCACCCCTTTCAATTTATTTTACAATGTTAAATTTGCATAACCAATATGGGGATATAGTTGAACTCATTTTAGTCCCATACACAATGCTAAAAATGTGCAATGTCCATTACACGAACAGACCAAACAAGGGGGCGGAAACAGGAAGCATCCACTGGCTCATGTGAGACAGTGGTCTCAATTTATGGGCTTCTAAAAAGTAGTGTAGCAATCATAAACACACACGTATATTATGCCTTCCAACATTACAGCAACACAGCAATCAGACAACAACAATCAGAGAGATATCTCGTCAAACATGGACCGAGTTATATGAATCAGAGCAAGCAAACAACTTCTGTAATTCCGTCACACACAGAAGCACCGACTTTTAATCTAATCTACCTTTACATTCCATTTTAAGCCTTTACCATTGCTTCCCCCACTTTACAACCAACATTCACCGTTTTCCCCAAATCAAAACACTCCAATCAGACAAGCACAAGACGGAGAGATTTAGGTGGCTTACCGGGGTCGGAACGAATATCGACTTCTTCCTCAACCGGTGACGACCTTACAGGTGCTCTCCCTCATAATCTCTCTCTCTAGCCACCCCCTCTCCCTTCTGAAGATTGAAGCTTGTCACTGGTTTATTGCTTCTCACTGCGACCCACGGAAAAGACGAAGAAGCCGGACGCTATTCACATTCCTCGTTCACAGTTCCTCAACCATGGCAATGTGAGACTTGCGACAACCATATGCAGTTTCGCCGAGTGTAATGTGAGAGTTCGGAGAACCCTATGGTCTATGCAGTTTCGCCGAGTGGAGAACCGCCAACCAAACTCCAGTTCCGTTGCACAATATCCCGCCCTCTGATTCCCGAAAAAATTGAGGGCATTTCAGTCTTTTTGGTGAATTATCCAAATTCCAGATTGATACCCCATGCCCATTTTGTCATTTCAGTAATTTACATGCCCATTTTGTCATTTTAGAATTCAACAGTCATTTTCTTGTCATTTTTCCAATAAATAATTTAGCTTGTTAGAAATTTTAAGTTGTTTCTAAAATACTTAATAATTTTTGGTTATGAGAGTTGCGAGAATTTAGAATAAAAATTTTAATCTAATCTACCTTTACATTCCATTTTAAGCCTTTACCATTGCTTCCCCCACTTTACAACCAACATTCACCGTTTTCCCCAAATCAAAACACTCCAATCAGACAAGCACAAGACGGAGAGATTTAGGTGGCTTACCGGGGTCGGAACGAATATCGACTTCTTCCTCAACCGGTGACGACCTTACAGGTGCTCTCCCTCATAATCTCTCTCTCTAGCCACCCCCTCTCCCTTCTGAAGATTGAAGCTTGTCACTGGTTTATTGCTTCTCATTGCGACCCACGGAAAAGACGAAGAAGCCGGACGCTATTCACATTCCTCGTTCACAGTTCCTCAACCATGGCAATGTGAGACTTGCAACAACCATATGCAGTTTCACCGAGTGTAATGTGAGAGTTCAGAGAACCCTATGGTCTATGCAGTTTCGCCGAGTGGAGAACCGCCAACCAAACTCCAGTTCCGTTGCACAATATCCCGCCCTCTGATTCTCGAAAAAATTGAGGGCATTTCAGTCTTTTTGGTGAATTATCCAAATTCCAGATTGATACCCCATGCCCATTTTGTCATTTCAGTAATTTACATGCCCATTTTGTCATTTCAGAATTCAACAGTCATTTTCTTGTCATTTTTCCAATAAATAATTTAGCTTGTTAGAAATTTTAAGTTGTTTCTAAAATACTTAATAATTTTTGGTTATGAGAGTTGCGAGAATTTAGAATAAAAATTTAATTAAATTAGAAATTTAACTAATATAGAGAAGTTTAATTAATTAATTAATTAATTTATATTAATATATGGTTATATTAATTGTGTAGATTAATTATTGGTTGAGCAAAAGATTGACCTTGTGGTAATCCTTAGTATTGCTTTGACGAGAGGTAACCACTTTTCACTTATTATATGTGCTAATATGTTGTTTGTGAGTATTTTGCTATTCTGGTATAATGATCTGTTATTTGGAACTCGAGTAAATAAGTTATATATGTTGAGCTATGAAAATTGTCTTGTGGGATTTTTTTTGGAATTGTGATTGAGGAGTTTGAAAAAGATATATGATTTATATCTTATGGATTATACTGAGAAAAGATTGAGACATTTTTTGTTATATTGTGAATGATTGGATGTTATTTGGATTTTGGATTGAGCTCGATTCCACCACGTGGTAAGGCCGCCATTGGTGCACATTGGTTGGCTTCTTCCTTCGTCCCCCATAGTGAGGGATAGGCCTTTGTGGCTTCTTATTCGTCCCCCAGAGTAAGGGATAGGCCTATATGTCTGATTATTCCCCCATAGTGAGGGATAGACTTATGTGGCTTATGTGTTAGCCCCCATAGTGAGGGTTTGGATGGTTGAAATTATATAGCTAAGTTTCCGAGAATTAATAACTGTCCCACTTGACACCTCACGAGCACATGTTAGTATGTATGATGAGTTAGAAAGTTGGTTACTGAGGCGTTTGTCTCACCCCGTGGTTTTTACTATCTTCAGGTGATAGTTCAGGTGGTGACCCATTAAGGAAGGCTCCGGAGGCATAGTGTGCTGTTACAGTTTGTATAGCCTCCCTGCTTTTGTTTTATGTGTTGACTTCTTATATATTGCCACATAGGGCCCATATACTTTAATACTGTAAACTAATACTTTTAATTATTACTATCTGATATGGAGATCGTTGGAAGGCCAGAGATATTTAAGACTTTGTGTATTACGCTCTTTTGATAGTATTGACTTTTGACTAATGGGCTCCATGACTTATATTAAAATGATTTATCAGTTCATATGCTTGAAAGTATAAGTTTGGTTTGGGCTAACGGTTGAATGATATTTCTGGACTTTGGAAGTCCAAGGCCCAAGTTAACGATCGGTGTTGCTCGTAATATAAGTTTATTTCTTTTAACCATGATAGCGATTTTAAAATTTTAAGGTTTCTTCTTCTCTATCATGGTTAATCATTCAAATAAATTGTTGGATTTAATCTAAAATGGTTTTGAAAGAACAGTTGTCACAATTTGGTATCAGAGCTAAAGATTCTACGAACTGAGTTGCATTACATTGCATTTAGTGGCAATATATAATAATCTCGTATAACCTTCCTTATTACTTTGTGTCTGTGCTTGACCTTACTTTATGTTTCTTTTAGTGGGTCCCATCCTTAAGTGGGGAGGATGGTACAGACACGATCACGACAAACCGATCAGGGTGGGGATGAATCCACAAACCCGCCTAATCAACCACCGAATCCTCTGCAGTTTAACCAAGAGACCTTATTGCAATAGCTAAGGGAAGTGGTAGTTACGGTGGTAGATGAGAGAGTAAGGAAGATGGAGGAAGATTTGAGAATCAAGAAAGCTATGGAAGAGTTTGAAGAGAGTGGGCTTCCTGAGCCGTCTGTGGGAAATTCTGTCACCCACAGGGATTCTATTGAAGGAACCAGAGAAGAGAGTAGTTCGTGAAGGCGACAAGGAAAAGAGGAGGCGGTGAACCTTAAAAGTGTATGGAAGGATATAGAGCGGCATCACCCAAAGACTTTTGATGGGGGTGTGGATCCTGACAAAGCTGAGGCTTGGATCGATGATATGGAGACAATATTCAAAGCTTGTGGCTGTAATACCTATCAGAAGGTACAAGCGACGGTGGTCTTATTGAGAGACCGAGCTAAGAGGTGGCGAAGGAGCATAAGCGGCACAGATGACTCAGGGATTACTTGGAATGAGTTCAAGCAAATGTTTTTTTATCATTACTTTCCCCTAGCCATGAGACAAGACAAAGAAACAGCTTTTTATGCTCTTCGACAGGAGAACATGCATGAGGATGAGTTTATTGCCAAGAATGATAATCCAGAGTGGATGGCCCGGCAATTGATAGAACGAGCGAGGCCAGAGTTGAAGCAGCAAATGGCCTTATATGAGTTTAAGAGTTTCGAGGATGCTTGCACGAAACTCAGGATGACAGCTCGTAGAACCCGAGAGGTAGAGGAGAGCGGACGTCGGGATAATCAGGGCAGATTCTCTGGTTTAATGAGGCCAACGGGAGGAGTCAATAAGAAAGGTAGCTATAGTTATGGGAGCTTAGGAAACTCAAGCAGATGCAAGAACCAGAATCAGAAGAATTCAGCCTGTGGAGGCTTTATGCAGAGGAGACAGGCTCAGGGGAACCATATAGGAGGAGATCGGAGTGTCCACCATGAGCCTACCAGATCCACACCAAGTGTTAGTGGTCCTTGCATGAGATGTGGGAGAAATCACCCAGGACAGTGTTGGGAATGCTACCGATGCCATAAGTTTGGACATATAGCTCGCAATTGTCCAGAGACGCAGCAGTAAACTCCTAGTTTCAGATCCACGGTTCCCGGAAGAGTTTTTGCTCTGACTAGAGAGGAAACTAGTATGTCTCCTAATCTGATTAGAGGTACTGTCTCTCTTTAAGGATATGATATACCTGTGTTATTTGATTCTGGTGCCACTTATTCTTTTATTGCTGCGGAATGTGCTCAAAAGTTTAAATTTTCAATGCATGATTTGTCTTACTTGTTGAAAGTGTCAACCCCAGCGGGAGCCACTGTGTTAACCACACAGGCTTGTTTAAGTCTTGTGCTTAAATTTGAGAATCGTGAGTCTGTGATTGATTTGATTTGTCTACCCCTCAAGGGTATTGACGTGATTATTGGTATGGATTGGCTATCAGCAAATAATGCCATTTTGGATTGCAAAAGGAAGATAGTAACTATTCCTTTGTGCACTACGATAGTTGAGGCTATTCATGGTCGTTTGTGGTTGTCTGCTACTCAAGCAACTAAGTGTATTCAAAAGGGTTGTCAAGCGTATGCTGTTTTCTTTTCTGTTAGTACGGATAAAGAAGTTGGTATAGAGCAAATCGAGGTAGTAAAGGAGTTTCCTGAGGTATTTCCTTAGGAAATATTCAGTTTACCTCCTGAAAGGGAAGTTGAATTCTCCATTGAGCTAGTACCAGGGACAGCTCCAATTTCTAAAGCACCGTACATAATGTCACCTTCTGAATTGGCAGAGCTGAAAAAGCAAATCGAAGAGTTGCTTGAAAAAGGATTTATTAGACCAAGTGTCTCCCCGTGGGGATCACCAGTACTGTTTGTGAGAAAGAAGGATGGGAGCTTGAGATTGTGTATAGATTATAGGCAGTTGAACAAAGTGACTATCAAGAACAAATATCCTCTGCCTAGGATTGATTACTTGCTAGATCAACTAATGGGGTCAGCAGTATTTTCCAAGATTGACTTGAGGTCTGGATATCATCAATTAAGAGTCAGAGCACAGGACATCCCAAAGACGGCCTTTCGTACCAGATACGGACATTACGAGTTTCTAGTAATGCCTTTTGGTTTGACGAATGCTCCAGTGGTGTTTATGGACTATATGAACCGGATCTTTAGGCCCTATTTAGACAAGTTTATTGTGGTGTTTATAGATGATATTCTGATATACTCTAGAAATGAGGAAGAACACTGAGAGCATCTTTACATTGCATTGCGAATATTGAGGGATCATCAGTTATATGCTAAGTTAAGCAAGTGCGAGTTCTGGCTTAGAGAAGTGAAGTTCTTAGGCCATGTAGTATTTGCCGAGGGAGTAGATGTTGATCCTAGCAAGGTCGATACCGTATTGAGATAAGAAACACCAGAATCTGTGACAGAGGTAAGAAGTTTCGTGGGCTTAGCTGGGTATTACCGAAGATTCATCAAGGGATTTTCTCAAATTGCCATGCCTCTAACTAAGTTGACTAAGAAAGACCGGCCGTTTGTCTGGGATGAAAAATGTGAGGCAGCTTTCCAAGAACTAAAGGCTAAGTTGACTACGACTCCAGTGTTGACTATTCCAGATCCTAGTAAACCATACACCCTTTACACTGATGCTTCACTTAAGGGTTTAGGGTGTGTCCTAATACAGGAAGGTAAGGTGGTTGCCTATGCATCTAGACAATTAAGGCCGCATGAGGAGAATTATCCTACACATGACCTGGAATTAGCGGCGGTGGTTTTTGCATTGAAGATCTGGAGGCACTACTTATATGGATCACAGTTTGAAGTCTTCAGTGACCATAAGAGCTTAAAGTATTTAATAGATCAGAAGGAATTGAATAATAGACAACGCCGGTGGATGGAATTCATCAAGGACTACGACTTTGAGTTTAAGTATCATCTTGATAAAGCCAATGTGGTTGCAGATGCTTTGAGTAGGAAAACAGTGCATGTGTTTCATCTGTGTTTGGAGGAACACTACTGTTTAGAGAGATTAAGAGATCTCCAAGTGGTGCATGAGGCTCCAGCCACTCTACAATCAATTTTAGGTGATTACGAGTTCTTTCGAGACTTGAGAGCCGCACAAATAGAGGATGACTGGTTGTTGAGCATCCGAGAGGAATTGAAAATCAGTGATGTGCCTGATTACGAAATCGGTGAAGAAGGAATCCTAAGATACAAGAAAAGGATTTGTGTCCTTGATGATGAAGAAATCAAAAAGACTATTCTTGAAGACGCGCATCGGAGCAATTACACAATACACCCAGGAATAACCAAGATGTACCAGGACTTGAAAAGAACTACTGGTGGACAAAAATGAAGAAGGATGTCACAGATTTTGTATTGAAGTGTTTGACATGTCAAAAGGTCAAGATTGAACATCAGAGACCTCCAGGGCTATTAAAGAATCTTGATATTCCCCAATGGAAGTGGGATAGTATTTCTATGGATTTCATTACTGGTATGCCAAGAACCCCAGCTGGCTATGATGCGATATGGGTAATTGTAGATAGATTGACTAAGTCAGCGTACTTCCTGCCTATCAAGAGTACTTACTCTTTGGAACGATTGACAAAGCTGTATATAGATGAGATTATTCGACTTCATGGAGTGCCAGAGTCTATCATTTTAGATAGGGACCCGAGATTTACATCAAACTTCTGGCAGTCATTACATGAAGCGATGGGCACTAAGCTCAGGTTTAGTACTGCTTATCATCCTCAGACCGATGGACAGACAAAAAGGACTGTTCAGACTCTCGAGGACATGTTGAGGGCTTGTGCTATAGAGCTAAAAGGTAGTTGGGACACTCACTTGTCATTAGCAGAGTTTGCCTATAACAACAGCTATCACACTAGCATTCAGATGGCACCATATGAGGCTTTATACGGGAGGAAATGTAGATCTCCACTTTGTTGGACTGAATTAAGTGAAAGATCAATTATTGGCCCAGATTTAGTGGACATCACAACAAGAAAGATTGAGCTGATCAAACAGAAATTGTTGATGGCCCAAAGTCGACAGAAGAGTTATGCGGACCGTCGGAGGAGACCTTTAGAATTTCTAGTGGGTGATCGTGTATTTCTAAAGATTTCACCTGTCAAAGGGGTAGGCAGATCCATCAAAGCTAAGAAGCTTACACCCTGATTCATAGGCCCTTATGAGATATCGAACCTGTTGCATATCGAATTGTGCTGCCGCCACATCTTTCCAGTTTACACGACGTGTTTCACATGTCACAATTGAAGAAGTATCATCCCGATCCGTCTCATGTTATTGAGCCTGAAGAGGTCGAGTTGCGAGATAATTTGACCTATCCAGTAGAACCAGAGCGGATTTTGGACGTTAAGGATAAACAATTGAGGAACAAAACTATCCGTCTTGTTAAGGTCTTTTGGAAGGGCATGAGTCCTGGTGATCCTACTTGGGAGACAGAGAAACGGATGCGTTATGAGTACCCTTACCTGTTTTCTTAGTAAGCACTTTGAGTTACTTTTGTTTTTATTTCTTGTGTGTGGTTGTTTGAATTTTGAGGACAAAATTCTATTTAGGTGGGGAGAATTGTAATATCCTAGTATTAAAATATATATATATATATATATATATATATATATAAGAGTCAACTTTCCACCAACTTTCGGTGGAAAGTTGAGATGTGAAGGTGTAAAATTTGGAGTAGCGTGGAAAGTTGAACATAAATGTTGAAAATTAAAATTTTAAGATTTCTTCTTTTCTATCATGGTTAATCATTCAAATAAATTGTTGGATTTAATCTAAAATGGTTTTGAAAGAACAGTTGCCACAAGAACTGGAAAAGAAATATATTCATGATGCAAAATCTCAAGAAGACTGATTGAAACATAGAAAATTAGAATTACAGGAGGAGATAGGACTCTATTTATGTTTATCACCATAGCTATTCCACATCATATTAGGGAGAATAAAATACAGGAGGACAATAACAAACTTCAAGATGAGTATTTAAAGATGATGAAGACGCTGGAGAAGGGGGCTACAAGTCTGCAACAGTGAAGTAAAGGGAAGTATTGAGCATTTGAGCAATAGATCGAAGAGAGAAGGGAAGTGGGAGGAGGAAGGGAGAAGGGAAGTGAGAGGAGGAAGAGAAAAGGTGCTAAAAAGAAGGGAAGTGGGAGTGGGAGGAGGAAGAGAGAAGGCACCGGGAACCTAAGGCTTAGGGTTTGAATGAGTTTCAAATCATATTGGGCTTTGAGGATGGTGGCACTGGCCCCCTATCAATCAGTGGCGTCATTCTTTGGAGCTTGGATTTCTTTTTTCTTTTTCCTTTTTTTAAAAAAATTACTATGATGTATAATATATATATATTAAAAAAATAATATGTATTACTGGGTAGGATTGGGTTAACCAGTCCAGCATACTTACTTGGAACCCGGTCCTACCCGGACTTCAGGTCAAGCCCGGTCTGACCTGATTTTTATCAGGCTTCTTTTCATCTTTTTCGGGGTAGTCCGAATTTATCAAGTTACCGAGTTTTGTGTTCAGCCTATAGCTTATCTTTTTTCCCAAAAAAAAAAGAGAGGATATATTCAATGCGCTACAGCTAGTGAAAATAGCAAACTGTAGCACTAATTTTTGTAGCATTTTGAAAATGTTACCAACTAAAAAAAAAGCGCTACAAATGTCTTTTTTTTTTGGTTGCTCACACAATTCACCGGAGCTTTGCTCCGATTATATCAGGATCCGACATGCGTCGCGCACCTGGCTATGGTAGGTGAGTCTCCTAACGGGAATTTCTGCATACGCTGAGGCTCGAACTCGAGACCTCACTTAAGCTGTACCAAACCGCTTACCAATCAGTGAATCGTTTCTTGTCTAGACCGACAATGTTTGGGTTACAGTTAGTTGCTCCACAAATTTTCTTGCATCGTTTTCTCTCTTCATCAATCGTCATTGTTATCACCGACAAGTTTCTTTCCTCATAGCCACACATATTTCCAATTTGGTATGCAATCTAATTATTATTTTGAATTAATTTCTTAACTACAATTTTTTTAAAAAAAGTTGGAAATATTTCACAACTCACTTAAAAATAAGATAATTTTCATGCGGCTTACTTGTATTTTTCACATAGGTTGTGAAATGTTTTAAAGTCATCTTTTGTATGCTCAGAAATTTCTCCGAGTGGTTTTATAGAATGACAATAATTCGTAATTCTTAACTAAAATTATCCCTCTTGAAAGGTACTGAAATGTCATTTTCCCTGTTAAGAATGTGATAGTATATGTCGCATATATGCAATTAATCACAATAAACAGCTCTTATTCTACGCGCATGAACGAAGAAAATTTAAACAAGGATGTTCTATTATTCAAAGGAGACAATTTATGTTAAGCCGCAAGGGAAGGAAAGAAAACTCCAAAAATAAAAAAAAGACCCTCATGTCCGTAATTAATCTTAGGAAAAATTACTAAGAGATCCTAAAGAATAAATTTAATTATTAGGAAGTCCCAATGACAAATAATCAGCCTGAAAATGTTATCATTTCCTGTTTTGAAACTTGTCATTACTTACTCTTCACTTATCAATAGACTTTACAGTAATTAAATTCTTTTTTTGAGATCTGATTGTAATGTTCCCTTAATTTTACTGTGGAGAAAAAGCCCACGTGGATTTATCAATTCGATTTAATTAGTGGTTTGGACTTGTCCGGTTGTTGGTGCCAAGTAATTAAAGTTGACCCCACTTATCAATTCTGGTTATAATTGAGATTGTACGCATCATCCCTAGCAATTGTGCGCAACTTCGAATAAGAAAAGAGATAAAGCGTCGGCAACCAAAAGAAAAAAAAGAAATAAAGAAAAGAAAGATCGAATTGCCAATATAATATTGAAGGAAAGAATTTTGTGGCAAAAAAAGGAAATAAAAATTTTCAATAGTCATAAACTGATTTTTAATTATATATATTTTTTGTATATGTTACAAATTTTGTATTCATTTTTTTCATTAATATTTCAAAAAAAAAGGAAGACTAATAACATTTGAGGAACTTATAAAAATATTAATTATAAAAAAATTAATATTTTAATCTTTTAAATTTTAAGTCACTTATAACTCAATCCCTCAACTATAATTTGATGCGATTCAATCTTTTAATTTTTAATTTATTTATAACTCAGTTTCTAATATTTTTATGTTTAATAGATTTACTTCCTAGATTTGTGACGGAGAGTACCAAAAAAGATTAATGGGTCTGTTTGGCGTCATGTGTATAAACACCTATAAACACACTTTATGCGTGATAAAATTGTCCTGACGTCCTGACTTCATATTGCATATATCACCATTGATTCATATTTTCCCCCAATAAATTTAAACGAAGGGTGTGGATTACAGAAACGAAGGAGGGAAATAGACCACCAAAAAGTAGAGATGTGGGACTCCGGTCCCGCTACCCTGCCATGTGAGCCGTATTTGGCTAATTTTATAGTATCCGATTCTAATTATACGATTTTGTTTATAATCTATAAATAAAGTCTTATAATTAAAAATAGAGATAATACTTCTCTGATCCTTAACATATGACCTAATTATTGAGTTAATTTTGATCCTAAATATAAAACCTATTTCTCATATTTATTAGGACCTAAATTATCTCTATAGATACTCCATCAACCATAATCAAGTAGAAGAGGGAGGAAGGATATTAAGGAAGGTAATTATGGTATTTTAAAAAAATGTCATATTTCTTATAATTAACTAACTTACCTAATTTTCTTAATCTAATTAAATTAGTTAAATAAGTCTTATATTAAAGATCGGAGGAGTACTCTAATACCTTTTGGTCATTCTTGTTTCTTCCCTCGAAGCCGCAAAATTCTTAGGGTGTGCATTAATCACTATAAACTTTTTATTTTGGGTCATTTTGTTCTATAACCAAATGAAGACCACAAATTCCCCTAATTTCACTTTATGTTCCCTACTATTAACACCTTATTTTCATAATTTTTTTGAGAAAATTTGCATATTTTTGAGAATTTTTATTTTGAATCGAAATTGTTGACTTTCTCAGAAAATATGCAACTCTTCTTTTAAAAAATCATGAGAATATGGTGTTAATTATGAAAGTCATTTCTTTTTGTGAAACAATTTTATGTTTTTAGGGGAGAAATTTTGTTCCTTAAAAAATAAGGAAAATTTCAATTAAAGACTGTAATTGGCAATTAATTTTAGATAGCCCTCAAAAAATTCTGAAATTTCACTAAAGGATTTTAAAATTTCATTGAAGGATCCAGGGGCAAACTGAAATTAATTGCACAGCTCATTTTATAGAAATGCCCTGCAAAATGTGATCTGTTGAAAAAAGAGAGAAGAAAGAGGGGAAAAGGAAAACTTGGTGGCTGTGTTATGTTATGCTAAAAAATGATTATTAATAAGCAAAATTCTCGTCTTTGCTTCAATGAGAAATAATTTAGCTTTGTTACGACTAAGGAGAGGTCTCGGATTTGTTAATCTTTCTTTTGTTTGTTCATTGTCTTCGGTAAGCTTTCTGTTTGTTGTTATTTGTCGTCTGTTAGGTTGTATTTTAGGTTGTTTGATTTTTCCTTTTGTATTTTAGGTTGTGTGAGCATAGTTGGGTTGTGATAGTTGAATAATCTAGAAATGAGTGTTTAAATACATGGGTGACAAACTCAATTATTTTTATATATTTTGGTATCTTTTATATGAGTTTTGTCAGCTTAATTGGTCCCTTTTTGCCTTAATTGATTTAATATATTTTATTTTGAATTAATATTTTATAGGGGCAAAATTGTCATATTCTGGTTTAATTGTGACTAATTGATTTTTGAGAACAATTAATGCTACCTTATCCTTGAATTTTGCTTGCAGGTTCTTGGAAGATTCAAAAATAAAAAATAAAAAATAAAAAGAAAAAGAAAAAGAAAATAAATTAAAAGAAAATAATAATAATAATAATAATAAGGTGGGGGCAAAACATTGCGTTTTGCCCCAACCTAATATTCCTAATATACAATCTTCTTCTTCATCCGTGCGGAGATACACAAGGAAGGCGCGGGCGGAAATAGAAAAAACAGAGCAAGCTTGACGGCGCTAAAAACACGAGACGGAGAGAGAGCTGGACGGGAGCAGAAGGGCGAACCAGGCGGCGAGACCGTTGACCGCAATCTCTCCATTCATCTTCTCTACGTCTTCTCACTGGTGGCAGAGAGAAGACGGCGAGAGTGACAGAGCCAGAGGAGACGCACGCACGAACCAGCGAACAGGGGACCGGAGCTGATACGCCGAAGAAGAAACGGAGACGCTGGGCGGCAGAGAGAAATAAACGCGCACACGAAGACGCAGACCAGCGAGCTGAGGGCGGAAGACGCAGCGAAACAGAAGCGAGCTGAGGGGCGAGGTGAAACATAGCAGACCAGCGACGGCGAATTCTTCCTTTCCACCGAATCACCATTATCACCGTCTTCTCCATGGCAGCCCATAGCAGAACATTGACTGTAGCATTCCTTATGGCAGTCCGTGGCTGAGGTTATGTGATTCTCTAATTCAACAACAATGGCAGGAGCTTGGATCATCAAAGGGGAGTTCTAGTTACTTTAATTTCTTACTCAATAATTGTTTAACAATTCCTAGATCTTAGGATAGTTTTTCTGATTGTTGGGATAATTGTATTGCTTAATCTGATTATATTTGGGGATTATTGTGACTGAATTATTGCTTAGTATTTGACATTGGGCTGTTTATAGTTTTGATCTCAATTATAATGTTGTGGTTATGACATTTGTATTGATTTTGGAATTAATATATTGTGATTTTCTAAGGTGGCTTAGAATTTTGGATCATATAGTCTCTTGCTAGCTTTAATTCTGTTATTTTGGATTTAAGAGTTCTAATTAAGCATTGGTTTTTAGCATCCTTAATCCCATTTTACTATTCTGGTTGCAATTAGTAAATTGGGATTTTAGGAAAATATTTTGTGGCAACTCGAGGTGGCTCGGTTGTTGGATCAAAAGCTTAATTATAATTCTTAATTCATTGTTTTCAACTCCCACATCTTTTAGAGTGATGATTGCCTATGTTGTTGAATTGGAGGATTGATTATTATCATTGTTATTTGTGTGTCTCATTTTCATTTCTTTCATCTTCAGTTATTTCAATCATCTTTTATATAAAAGAAAATAACAAAAAAAAAAGTATTTTAATTTCAATTTGATTCGTAGTATTTAATTAACAGCTTTTCAAAATCAAAAATCTCTTTTTATAGTTTAGGTTACTTGCATTTATTTACTAGGGTTTAATTTCGTTTTTCGGCTCCTCAAAGTGAAACGACCCGAGTTTTGCACTATATTGCATTAATTCGGTTAATTTTTTGGAGTAACCCCAAAGCGACAATTAAGGGCAGTTCAACTTCAATGGGTAAGTGGGTAGTGAGGAAGAAAAAATCTGATATCACTTTTACGTTTAGAGAGATATTGTTATCTTCTTTTTCTTTGAAGTTAATAAACATAAGGTGTTAGTGATTTTTGAAAAATGGGTGAGAATGGGTAAACACTGACTGTAATACGTTGTTGAAGGAACTTAGGGAGGAAGAACTAAAAGGAAAATGGATGAATGTACTGAAATGGGTGATATGAAAGCTAAATGTGCAGAGAAATGCTAACTTGCAATTGTGAACACATATATTCAGATTGTAAATTTGTAAATTGAAGTTGTGCAGGAAAATGGTAATTTAATGTTATGAAAACCAGTATTTCTATCGTAAAACCGCAAATTTCTATTGTTAACGCATACTGTTTGTTATTATTGAAAGTTGATTGAAATTGATAGTTGAATGATGCACAGCAACGGATTATAAATGGCTATTGTGGTGGTGGAAAACAATCATTTTGCATCTTCCATGTGTAAAAGGAATTTGTAAAGACCTTAGAAGAAAAATTGGTATATGAAGGGAATATTATAAGTGGAAGATTGATCAAAGAAGGGATGATACATGAAGAACTACATAGTAGTGAATGATGTTTAGCCAGGCAGTGGTCAATATAAAATGAAGTACACAATTAGTTTGGATAGGAAAATATTTTTAGACCTTGTTGATGATACTAAAGTAGGACAATTAATTGAGTACAATGATAATAGTAGGCATGTTTATGTTTGCAACAATAAGAAAGACTTGAGACAAGCGTCATAGTTGGACAGTGCACAAGAGTAAGTGAGCATGTTTATTTAGATTTTTTTGCATATGATAAGAGATTGGTTTAATTTTCAAAACTCAAAACTTGTATTTGTTGTGATATATATGCATATGTGGTTGATTGGTTTTTATTTTTAGCTCAAGAAAAAATTTATGGTACACCTATGATCCCAGTTGAGACACATGACATTTTTAGACCATATTCCTTTTGATATGAAGAATACTCGTCAACTATCTTTCTACAATCACTATTGAGTACTCGCCATCCTGGAAGGTTTAGAATTAGGAGGATTGAATCACAATTTCATGACAAGAAAATGTATCATTGCTCAAGATGTGGTGAAGGTGGTCACATGAGAAAAACTTGCAGTAACTTGAACCATGTGTGACTTGATTATTGACAATAGTATTTTTTTTTGGCTTAATATGCAGCTACTTTTGTACATAATAAACCCCAATATGTTTTTTTTTTTGGGATAGGTTGAGGAAGTAGCTATGACAACCCATTTAGTATATTTGGTGGTGGGTTGTAATCTTTTTTGTACAGTGAATTAATAGTTGAAATATTTTATGACGGTACGTGATGATAAGCTAGTCCAAGTACTACGCTAAAATTGCCTAGTAACACTGTAAATGTATGAAAGACTTTGTCCACTTGTAAATGGACATATTTCTGTTGTTAATTAATGTATTGATTTTGCAAATTCCCTAGTTCTTGTTGTAATGCACATATTATTTTAGCACATTCTCTAACTCCTGTTGCCAATAATGTAAGTCCACTTGCGAATACACGAGTTTTTGTTCTAAATTTCCCAACGCCTATTGCAAATTGTCTAAACCCAGTGGTGAACACATTTGACAGACTAGCGTGATGGTTAGGTTATACATGCAAATTTGCACTTGTGCAAACACTAGTCTCTCTTATGAATTTTCTAACGCCTATTGCAAATTGTCTAAACTTAATTATGAACACATTTGACAAACACTAGCGTGATGGTTAACAGTATATTGTGAAAATTTGCACTTGCAAAAACACTAGTTCCTCTTGTGAATTCCCCAACGCCTGTTGCAATTTGCCTAAACCCAGTTGTGAACATACTTGACAGACTCTAGCATGATGGTTCAGTTATATTTTAAAAAAACCACTCGCAAATATATGAGCCCCTGTTGTAAACTCAACTATTATTGTTGCAAATTTCCTAATTCCAGTAGTCAACATTTGCACTCAAAGTATGAAATTTGTGGGGGAAAATATATTGCTATTACTGGACATGTAATAAACACATAATATATAGTTTATTGCATTGAAAATGAAATTTTGGGTAATTCTTATGCACAAAAGTTGACACATCCTTTGCTAATATAAAAAACATCTTGAGCTGACAGATCCCTCTTCAATTTTCTCTTGGTTGTGTCTATATCTTTGCAAGTAGTTGTACAACAGCTGCCGACTGTGTATTTCTTGTATAGGTAATGAGCCGCCACAGCAAGTCTGACCTCAGGGAACTGAGTTCTTCCTATTGCACAACATTAAGAACCATCAAACAAGGGACACAGTGGAGTACAAGATTGAAATCTAAAAATAATGCATTCATAGATAAACACTTAATCAACTCATATTCCTACAAAATAGTTATTTCTCACCACCAGTAGCTATTTATAATCCGTTGCTACACATCATTCAACTGTCAATTTCAATTAACTTTCAATAATAATAGACAATACACGTTAACAACATGAATTTGTGGTTTTACAACAGAAATACTGGTTTTCATAACATTAAATTGTAATTTTCCTGCACAACTCTAATTTGCAAATTTACAATCTGAATACATATTTTCACAACTGTAAGTTAGCATTTCTCTGCACATTTAGCTTTCATACCATCCATTTCAGCACATTCACCCATTTTCCTTTTAATTCTCCCTCTCTAAATTCCTTCAACAACGTATTACAGTCAGCGCTTACCTATTCTCATCCACTTTTCAAAAATCGCTAACACCTCATGTTTATTAACTTCAAATAAGAAGAAGATAACAATCTCTCTCTAAAATTAAAAGCAATATTAGATTTTTCTCCCTCACTACCTATGCATTTAAACCTGAAATACAATAGGAAAAATTAAACAACCTGAAATACAGCCTAACAAACAACAAATAACAACAAACAGAATGTTTACTGAAAACAACAAAGAAACAAAAGATTGACAAATCCGAGACCTTTCCTCAGTCATAACAAAGCTGAATTATTTCACGAAGCAAAGACGAGAATTTTGCTTATTAATGTTCATTTTCGAGCATAGCATAACATAGCCACCAAATTCTCCTTTTTCCATCTTTCTTCTTCGTTTTCAACAGATCACTTTTTGCAGGGCATTTTTGTAAAATGGGTTGTGTAATTAATTTCAGTTTGCCTCTTCAGTGAAATTTCAAAATTCTTCAGTGAAATTTTAGAATTTTTTGAGGGCTGTCTGAAATTAATTGCCAACTGCGGTCTTTAGTTGAAATTTTCCCATTTGTCATGTTTTCAAGAAAAATTGCTATTATATAGTATTATGAGGAACTCATCACTTTGTTTTTATGGAATGAGGGGAAAAACAATGTATTCTTGTTATTTTGCTATTTATCACTTTCTTTCCTTTGTCATACTTCTCATCCTATTATTTAAATATGATATTGGCAAAAAATACCAGATATTAATAAATGGGTAAAAGTGTAATTTTACTTCTTCTTTTTTGCGCAATTTTGTTTATCAGTTTTTTGGAGTATGATGTTGACTTTCTCAAAGAGTAAAATTACATCATTAAAAATATCTTAGCAGTAAGCTAAAATCGCTTGTGGCTGAAGAATCCCGATGTGACACCTTACCACGTGTCATGACCACAGTGGCTGATAAACAAAATAAAAAGCTCACTCACGTAAAAAATCTATATTAACAGACTAACAAATCGCTTCTATTTTCATTTTAGTATCTCAAATTTTAAATCATAATTTTTAGTTCCTTAAAAAATAAAATGGTCCACATTTTTAGAGATTAATATTTTAAATAAAAAGAAATTTGAGGACCAAAATCTGTAATTTGAGACTTGTGGGACCAAAAAATTAAAATGAGAACAAATATAAGGAACTAAAAATTATATTAATCCTATATCAACTAATAAAAGGTTGAAAAAAAAAAAAGACCAACCAATACGATCATATGTCTGCCTCTATCTTTCTTTTTTTTTTTTGACTGAATGTCTCTCTCTTATGATCTTATCGAAATAAAGATGACATGATGCTCTACAAATGAAAAAGCATAAAAACTAAAAAGAGAAAAATTAGGGATAAATACCTCATTGAAAATTTAATTGACAAATGGGATCTAGGATGATTGATTGCACAAGAGAAGATTTGTTGCATACAAAGGATGATAAGTTGCACAAAGAGAAAATAGTTTGCACAAAACATTATTTGGATATAAAGAATTAGTTTGCACATAGGGAAGATGACTTGCACATAAGAGAATTTCATTTACACAAAGAGAAATTGAATTGCACATTACACAAAGAAAAATCATTGCACACAAAAGAAGATATATTGCACACAAAGAAAGATAAGTTGCACAAAAAGAAGTTAAATTGCACAAAATCCTTAGATCCTATTTACCAATTAAATTTTCAATGGGGGTTTATCCCCAATTTTCCCTAAAAAGTATGGGTAACTTAAATTGTTAGTACATGTTACTTTAATTTTAAAATAATATATAATAAAATAGAGATAATCGAAGCCAACAAAAGAGAGGGTGGGATAAGGGTTATTGGATTGAACAATAATGACCACAAAATTCTCTCTAATTATTGCTGTTCTCAAATTAAAATATGACCCTAGTTAAATTTATACAAATTAAACTTGATGAAGAGTCAAAAGAAATTGGATTAAACTGTTTCATCCTTTTATTTGCACTGATCATTTCCTGCAATATTTACTCTCACTCCTCCCTCCCTCCCTCTCTATATTTTTTGGACCAAATTCTCTATATATATTTCGCTGCTTTAATTTCTTAATCTTGCTAATTCTTCTGCTCCCCCCTCCATATATATATCTATATATCTATATCCATGCTTTCTTTCTTCTTGGGTATACATATATAATGCAGTGCATATATATTGGAAATTAAACATATGGCCAAGGTTATTTGAATCCTTAGCCTTATCATGTTTTGTTTTGTTTTTGTTTTATGTTTTTTCAGATGAAATGATGAAATATATATATTTATATATAAAACAAGAGAAGCACATATAGAGATAAACATAGGCCTTAGCCTGTGTTTCATAACGTTGTAAACGCGGAAGTCAAATCGCTTTGAGGGTCCATGAAAAAGAGCTAATCAACCAATAAAAGGCTGCGAAAATCAAATAATATAGAAAAAAATTCAAAAAAAAATTCTTTAAATTTCAAAATTCTAAATCAGTCTTATTTATTACACTTTAATAACAATTAACAACATTTGAAAAGTAAATAACAACAAAATTTTGTAGTTCTTCATGATTTGATATTTTAAAATTTTAAAGGTATTTTTTAAAATTTTTTCCCAATAATACATCCAATCAGTTTGTTGATGATATAAAACCCAAAAATATATATGGCGTGTTTGGTTCTATTTGAAATAAAGACAATCGAACCCAACAAAAGAGGTGGGGTGACCAAGCATTATTGGGTTGAATGTAAATGGAAACAATCTCTGATTCCAATTCTGTGGTCTCAGATTAAAATAATATATGACCCTACTTAAATTTACATTAATAGATAGTGTACTGACTAGTTAAAAAAAACAAAAAAAAAAATTGGTCAAAGAGTAAACAAAAGTTAGATAAATCAGCATTTCAACTAGTTTAAATTGTTTTTCTTTTAATTTTTAGACAACGATGTCATGTTAATTATAACAATTCTTTGAAATCACTCTTATTCCTATGGTGTGTTGAACTAGTCCATTAATTTGGTAGGCTCAATTAATGCGTCGTGTGCTTGGCCAAGCTTGGTCAATAGTGCTTTTATTGTAGTTATAATTTCTTTGTTATTTTATCAATGGATTGGAATAGCAGTAATAGTGGGTTTATCCTCACAATTTTAAAAAGTTAAGGGAAATTATGTACACATAAGTTAAAATTTAAATGGGTTACCTACACAAATAAATAAAATTCAAAGGAGATATGCATGAACAATAATATATGTTATACACGGTATGGTGAAATAATAAACTAATTAAGAAATAGGGGATATTTGCAAAAATGTTGAATTTAAGGGGTTTTTTAATTAAATATTAAGGATAAAAGAGCTATTTAAACATAGCTCACATTTTAGAAAATTTTCAAAATAAGCTATTTAAACATAGCTCAAATTTTAGAAAAATTTCACATAATTTAGGCATTGAAGTTTTTTGTGGGGACTTTCTAACCTAACCATACTAAGCACCTCTTGAGTATTTTTTAGGTGCGGTGTTGCGAGTTCAACCCTTTTTGTATATATGATAGATATATATGTGAGTTTCCTTCTATTAGATTAATACTGACAAAAAAATTATTAAAGTTTTTAATAAGTAGTTAATAATCTTATAGCATAGCAGCATGAAAACTTTTTTGTAAGTAAGTAGAAGGCCGCAAATTCCATTCGTATATAACTTAAAGTCATGCTAATTTAAGTAAGAAAGGAAATGGTTTTCCATATAAGATAAAATGGATTAGGATTTTACATTTAAATCCAAATTAAAAGTCAAACTAGTTCTTATATTAAGGATCAGAGGTAATATATAAATTATTTTGAGTAGTCAATTTATTGTTTTATGTGGCAAAAAAGATTTTTGCAAAGCTTCATCCTCCACAGGCGGACCAAGTCCATCCAGCTGATGCCACACCGCCAACCAGCCCCATCAACCACAAAAACGGGGTGGGGCATCTCAGTCAGTCAATAATTTTAGACTTGTCATTTATATTTGTTGTGTTGTCAAGTTTGGTGATGTGGATATATTCCCAGCTACTTCCAAGGTTATCGAATGATGCTGTTATTTTATTTTGGCTAAGGCACGAATATAAAGATGGCTATGTTGGGAGAATCTCATCTAATTATACTGCTAATAATCTTTTGCGGGTGTTGATCACTCCAGTGGCTTTTGGTTTTGAATCTTCCAAATTATATTTTCCCTCCCTCATTATTTAATAGTATAAAGATTCATGTGACAATTCGTGGATTAGTTAATTGTTTTATTACTCCCAAAGCCCTTACACTATGTAAGGTGTCAGGCATGATAGAATTTTAAATTATGTTTTTTTTTTTCAATTTTCTATGGCATTCGTCTCGAGTGAGAGGATCGTTGAGTTTATACTTCACTCTGATGCCTCACTTCACGGATACCATATTCTTATTAGCTGCATCCAACGAATTAAAGCCCTAAAGAAGTTGATAAAAAACAATCTGGAACCTTCATATTTATTGTAAAAACTAAAAGGTATCTAAATATAAAGGTATGTGTATTTGAGTTAAAATGTCATTTCTTAAGATCAACACTATGATTTTGCAGAAATGTCAAATATATGTAGTCTTTTAATTTCTATAAAAAAATTATGAAGGAAAGAGACTGAGACATGGATGATTGGCTGAAAATTTACTTCCTAGATTTGTGACCGAGAGTAAGAGGTTCGAAAGGAAAAAGATTAATGGGTCTGTTTGGCATCACGTGTATAGACACCTATAAACACATTTTATGTGTGATAAAATTGTTCTGTCGACATACTCACTTCATATTGCATTAATCACCATTGATTTATATTCTCCTCCAATAAACTTAAACGAAGGGTGTGGATTAGAGAAACGGAAGAGGGAAATAGACCACAAAAAAGTTGGGGGGGGGGGGCCGGTCCTGCTGTCCTCAGTGTCCTGCCATGTGAACCGTATTTCACTAATTTTATAATACTCTTCCGGTCCTAAATATGATACTCATTTTATAATGTAAATTATAGTACAAAATGAGTCTTATATTTAAAACTAAAAGAATACTACAATACTTTTTGGTCATTCTCGTTTCTTCCCTCGAAGCCACAAAATCCGTAAGTTGTGCATTAATCACTATAAACTTTTTTATTTTGTCATTTTGTTCTATAACCAAATGAAGACCACAAATTCCCCTGATTTCACTTTATGTTGCCTATTATTAAGACCGTATTTTCATTATTTTTTGGGAAAATTTGCATATTTTTTTAGAAAGTTTTTCTTTTTGGAATCGAAACTGTTGACTTTCTCGGAAAATATGCAAACTTTCTTAAAAGATCATGAAAATATGGTGTTAATTATGGAAGTTATTTCTTTTTGTGAAAAATTTTATGTTTTTAGGGGAAAAAGTTTTTTCCTTAAAAAATATGTCATGTTTTCAAGAAAAATTGCGATTATGTAGTATTATGAGAAACTCATCACTTTCTTTTTGAAGTATGGGGATATGGTTTATGGAACGAGGAAAAAAAGAAGAAGCAATATGTTCTCATTATTATGCTATTTATCACTTTCTTTCCCATGGCATCTTCTAATCCTATTATTTAAATGTAATATTGAGAAAAAAATACAAGATACTACCTCCAATCCTTAATATAAGAGCTAATTGACCAATTTTAATATATTATGAAAATTTGTTAAGTTAAGTATTTATAATAAAAAAGTATTATCTTTCTTATAATATTATAATATCCCAGGTGAGAGGAGCAAATTAATTAGAAGAATAATTTAATGAATTGATGCTTTGACTTTTCCTATAAATACCCACACATACCCTCCACTGTGGCTACACTCAACCTGAAGCTCGACATATAGTACGAAAAACCTTGTCTTCCTTTTTAAGGACATAGACTCACGAGATGTCTATCGTTGCTGCTTCAACGACCCTTGTTCCTTCTTCATCAACCCATTTGCGTCGACATCTTGCAGATTATCATCCTACTCTTTGGAAGGATTATTTCCTTCAATATGCTTCCCAATCTTTGGTATATACTTGAAGCTCTCTCTGTCTATATATGTGTGTGTATATATAATTCTTGTCATCTTGGTTTATTTGATAATGATGAGTTGTTTGAAAACTGTGCAGCAAGTTGATGAAGAAATGGGGAAACAAGTTGAAACAGTGAAAGAAGAAGTGAGGAAGATGCTTATATCTACAAGGATGGAGAAGCCCTCAACAAAAGTACTTGAACTGATTGATTCAATTCAACGTTTGGGCTTGTCGTACCATTTTGAACGTGAGATCGATGACTTACTCCAGCAAATTCACAACACTTACGTGCAAAATAATGAAATTGTAACTCATACTGAAGATCTCCATTCTCTCGCTCTGCTCTTTAAGCTACTGAGGCGAGAAGGATATCCCATTTCACCTGGTGTGTATTTATGATGTACGTATGTGTGCATATATATGCTACTATGAGTTTAGTTTGCTATTAATAACTAAAGATATAAACATATATTTCATTACCATTGTAAGATATGTTCAACAAGTTCAAGGATGAGCAAGGAAGCTTCAGTGAAAAGATAGCATCAGATGTTGAAGGGATGTTGAGTTTGTACGAGGCCGCGCATCTCAGTGTTCATGGAGAGGACATTTTAGACGAAGCGCTTGCTTTCACTTTGAATCGTCTTCATCGCTCCATCACCACCATTGAATCAAACCCTTTTCTCGCAGCAAAACTCCGCCATAGCTTGAAGCAGTGTCCTTACAGGGGATTGCCAAGGCTAGAGGCGCGAAAGTACATTTCCATATATCACTTGAATCCTTCCTGTAATCAAGTTCTTCTGAAGCTGGCGAAATTAGATTTCAATATGCTCCAAAAGCTGCATCAGAAGGAGTTCGGCAATCTCTGCAAGTGAGTTCTCGGGCTTCTTGGGATAAAATAACTAGTTTGTCACTTTGAGAAAAATGTTATATTCATTATGTAAATGCAAGAAACTTCGCTTTAATAATTCTTTGGTCTCTACGTACGTTTAGGTGGTATAACAAGTTGGATGTGCAAAGAAATCTTTCATATGCAAGAAACAGGATCGTCGAACTATGCTTTTGGATTCTCACGGTTTATTTTGAGCCTCAGTACTCTAAAGCTAGAAGCATAATGACCAAAGTGATGGCCCTGCTATCCATCATTGATGATACATTCGATGCGTATGGAACTATAGATGAACTAGAACTCCTCAACGAGGCAATCCAGAGGTTTATATCAGTTCTGATCTGAGTTCGCGAGTTTTGATCTATCTATTTAGAAGAAATCAGTATATATATATCTCTCTCGAGTTTTCCCACTGTTGATTTAATGCTTGCAGGTGGGATATTCGTTGCTTGGACAATCTCCCAGATTATATCAAATTATTTTACAAGGAACTGTTGAACGTTTTCCAAGAAACAGAAGAAGAAATGAGGAAAGAAGGAAGATCATACAGTGTTCACTATTCCAAACAAGAGGTGTACATATTATATATATGAATGACTTTGTTCTTTTAATAATCATCGATTCGACAACTTTTCGAAACTATAAACTGTTGACATCAAATATACTGTAATTTGGTTTATCACAGATTAAAAAGGCAGTGGAAGCCTACATGACAGAAGCAAGATGGCTAAATAAGAAGCATATTCCGACAACAGAGGAGTACATGAACGTATCAACAGTATCAACTTGTTATCCAGCTCTTTCCGCTGCTTCTTTCATCGGCATGGGACACATAGCCTCTGAGGATGTCTTCAAGTGGGCCCAAACTCACCCGAAAGTCATTAAAGCCTCTGCACTTATTTGCAGACTCATGGATGACATCGTCTCTAGCGAGGTATGAGGTATTTGTAGCTATATATACATACATTAATTCTTTCGAACTAGAAATTAAAGTGAAGATTTGGTGGTTAATATAGTTATTTGTGCAGTTTGAGAAGAAAAGAGAGCACATTGCGTCACTGATAGAATGCTACATGAAGGATTATGGAATGTCAAAGCAGGAAGCCATTAGTGAACTTGAGAAGAAGATAAGGAGTGCGTGGAAGGATATTAATGAAGAGTGTGTGAGACCAAATATTGGCCAAGGGATGCCAAAACCCATTCTGATGCGAGTTCTGAACATGACTCGTGTCATGGATGTCATGTACAAGGATGCCGATAACTTCACGCATTCTGGAGGACTCATGAAGGATTCTATTCAACTTGTGATCCTTGATCCTGTGCCATAAATTAATGTGATCATCTTAATATTAGTGTTTCCTTAATTCGTTGCCTGGTTTTACTTGGGAGTACCATGAATAATCCAACGAGTGGCATATTATATATGAATGAAGTGTCAAATGTTTACCTGAAGTGTCAAATGTTTCTTCTTGTGTCCCTTGGGAATAAACTTGTTTGTGTGTTTATGAATGAAGATAATGAGTTGGAAAGAGAACGAGTGAGGAAAGAGATTTAAAAAATGGGTTTAAAAAAAAAAGAAATTTATGTAATTAATTTGAGGTAAAAAATATGCATTAAATTTTGAGACAGATACTAATTGTTACTTCTATAGTAGGACCAACCATATGGAAGAGATTGTTGCCTATATAAGAGCAAAGGTTTTTTTTTTTCCCCCTTCTTTTCATCTTAGACAAACAAACCCCATTAAATATTTTTTTATTTTCCTCAGCTGTGAGTTGAGTGTAATTTGGATCTGAAAATCAAAGTGCTTCGATTCTGGCTAAACCCATCGTCTTTATCATTGCTGTCCACGTGGCCCCCAAACCAACATAAAGAGGGGGCTCTTTTGGCTAGTAGTAGAAGAGGATATTCGAATCCCCTTCCTCGTATTTTTCTCATAACCTCACAGGTACATGTAGGAAAAAAATTATATGCATATTTAAAAATGGTCCCATATATTTATACAGGGTCCAAAAATATTTTTAAAGAAGATTGCACTTAAATGTTAAATGTGAGTTGACTTGACTTGGCATGAAGATAAATCTCTCATCAAATGGATTATATGCACCATCTTGTTACTGCTGGCTTTAAGTAGGCTTTCTTTTCTTTCCAAATGCACCCTGAATCCAAGAGTCCGAATCCCACTCAGGTGATCTAGGGAAAAATAGGTCCAAAATGACATAAATAATGTGATTTTAATTTTTTTAAATATATTTTCTATATATTATAATTCACTCCAACAAATTAAAAAGATACTGCTAATATGTTGGCCAAAATAAGAGATGCCACTAATATAAATTTTTTAATTTAATAAATAATAAATAATTTCCATAACTCAATTTCTGCCCTTATAGAATCAGTTTCGATACTCATCACTTTAATAAGTACCTTAAACTCATCAAATTTGGATCATTCATATCTCATTTAGATGGTCCAGATTTGACTTTTTTATTTTTATTTATTCAAAATAATTATTTTAATATGTATAGAATATAAAATAGAAATAATCTCTTAACTATCATTCTTTTAAAAAATAGTTTTTAATTTAAAAATAATAAATTAAAAATTTTAAACATGAACTGTTCAAATTAAATATAGACAACTCAAATCTGCAAAGACGTATGTTCCATGAAATGGGAGAGAAGCATGAAGGAAACTTGGAATTCCACGATGGGAATTTTGTTTTTGCGTCTTTGACTTGTCGTGCGGGGAATTGCTTTTCCACTGCAAAGATGTCCCCGGAAACCAGGAGAAAGAAGTACTAGCAACACGCAATTCAACTGAACTATTTCTGTTCTTCTGTAAGAAATCTGAAAGGAATCAAAATTACGAGAAGTTAGCATAGAACTAATTTAAACCAGTTGACACTAAGCGTTAAGGAGGTTATTGTGTATACTTCTTCAGTCTCCAGGATTTCAGATCAGACCACAAAAAGTCGTCATGGCGGAGTGATTCAGGAACACTTGCCTGGAAAATAGGAAAAGATGAAGCGCACTTTTGCCCCCCCACCTTCCTTCTTTCCGTGTTTGTTCATTTGTTTAGTTATAACTCTCATATCGTTCGTCCACTTCAATTTATTCTTTGTTCATTCTACAATCATAGGTGATAGGACAAAGAATACATCCATCGAGGGTCAACGCAAAAAAAAAAAAGAAGAAGTTAGAATATACTACTTTCGGTCCTTAATACTCCTCCGGTCCTAAATATAAGACCTATTTTGTAGTAAAAATTTACACTATAAAATAGGTCTTATATTTACACTACAAAATATGTCTTATATTTAGGATCGGAGGAGTATAAGAGTTAGTTTGATATTTAATTTGGTCCTAAAAACCATAATTCACTTTACTAGCTTTCATATTTATTTATTTTTTTAAAAGTAGTTCTTATAATAGTTGCACATGTTAAATGTTTTATTATATGGTAGTTCGGAACCAATTTCAGTGCTCATCATTTTGATGAGTATCCTAAACTTATCAGATCTAGATCATCCATATCTCATTTGGACAGTCTAGATTTGATTTCTTTTTTATTTTTATTTATTCAAAATAACTATTTTAATATGTATACAATACAAAATAAAAATAAACTCTTAACTATCATTCTTTTAAAAACTAGTTTTTTCTATTTAAAAATAATGAATTAAAGATTTTAAATTTGAATCATTCAAATCAAATATAAACGATTCAAATCTAATGAGTTTAGATTTCAACTGAAATTGGTTCCTATCGTATGAGCGCAACACTCATTGAACAAGTGTGGCCGGAAAGAGAAATAAAAATCCAGGCGTTTCATATACCTGAGCCTGACTCTGAGATGCCTGCCACCACCAAATGGCATGGACCTCAAGCTCTGATCGCCGCTGTACCTCTGACAGATGTGAAGAAGTATGCCGGTGATACCGAACCGGAGAAGATCTCTGTCGGCAACTCGCTCCAGCGAGGTGGGTCATGGCATAAGTCTCGAAATTAGTTATTTGTAATAAATAAATATTATTTTTTTAAAAAATATTTTTGCTAGTAATGTGTATTAACTAGAACCACAAATTGATTAAATCTTTAATATGTGCAACAATTATAAGGACTATCTTCAAAAAAATAAATATATATAAGAGGCAAAGTATATTAGGGTTTTATATTTAAGACTAAATTAAATGTCAAATTAATTCTTACATTATAACAAAAAAAAGAAAAAAAAAGCAAAAATAAATAGGCGTTTTGAGTGCTGAGCATAGAATGCGAATGCCTCATTTTACCCGCATGAATAAAGAAAATTTAAACTATTATGAAATTAACCAACAAAAAAAGAAGATTAGAGAAGAGATGTAGACAAAAAAAATGAGAGAATGATATTGTACATAAACAAGGATGTTTTATTATTCTTTTTCTTTTTTTACCTTGAGGTTGTTTTATTATTCAAAGGAGACATTTTATGCTAAGCCGCATAGGAAGGAAAGAAAACTCCAAAAAGAAAAAGAAAAAATATATACCCTCATATCTGTAATTAATTTTAGGGAGAATTTCTAAAAAAATTTAATTATCAAAAAAATCCGAATGACAAATAACTAGCCTGAATATATTATTATTTTCTACTCCGAAACTTGTTATTACTTACTCTCAATTTATTGATGGATTTTAGAATAATTAAATTCCTTTCTTAGGAGCTGATTGTAATTTTTCTTTAATTTTACTATGGAGAAAAAGCTCACGTAGATTTATCAATTTGGTTTAATTAGTGGTTTGGACTAGTCCGTTTGTTAGTGCCGAGTAATTAAAGTTGACCCCACTTATTAATTTATGGTTATGATTGACACTGTGCGCATCATTTCTAGCAACTGTGCGCTGCTTTGAATAAGAAAAGAGATGAAGTGTCGGCAGGAAAAAGAAAAGCGACAAAGAAAAGAAAGATCGAATTGCCAATATAATATTTAAGTAAAAAATTTTGTGGCGAAAAAAGGAAATAAAAATTTTCAACATTCATAAACTGATTTTTAATTATAATCATTTTTCTATATGTTAAAAATTTTGTATTGATTTTTTCTCATCAAGGAAGACTAACATTTGAGGACCTTATAAAAGCATTAATCTCCATTTTTGTTTTGGAACGTCCAACGTGGCAGAAAACGGGCATCTCGTCTCCCTCCTGCTTCCTCACCCACACAGCCGACCAGCCCTATCCACAACAAAAATGGATCATCTCAGTCACTCAATAATTTTAGACTTGTTATTTATATTTGTTGTGTTGTCAAGTTTGATGGTTATATGGATATATTCCTAGCTACTTCCTAGGTTATCGAATGATGCTGTTATTGATTCCTATATAAGGTCTCGGGCATGATATTCAAAAAATTTGAAAAAGAAAGAGGTTTCACATTTCAATTTTATTTAAAAAATCTAAATAAAAATATTAATATTCCGTGTGTACAAAATGTAAAGAGTGTTGATAATTTTTATATACAGAAATTTATCAGGTTATTCTCACTAATAAAATTTTAAATTATGATATTTTTTTCAATTTTCCATGGCATCCGTCTGAAGTGAGAGGATCGTTGAGTTTATACTTCACTCTGGTGCCTCGCTTCACAGATGCTATACTCTTATTAGCTGCATGCAAGGAATTAAAGCCCTAAAGAAGTTGATAAAACCAATTTGGAACCTTCATAGTTATTGTAAAAAGTATCTATATAAAAAGGTATGTGTATTTCAGTTAAAATGTCATTTTTTTAAAATCAATACTATGATTTTGCGGAAATGTCAAATATATGTAGCCTTTTAATTTCTATAAAAAAAATTATGAAAAAAAGACAGAAATGTGGATGGCTGAAAATTTACTTCCTAGATTTTGCGACAGAGTATGAGGTTGGAAAGGAAAAAGATTGGGCCCATTTGGCATCATATTTATAAGTATTTATAAGCGTATTTTATGTAAATCTAGATAAAATTTTTTGTATACTCGTTTTGTATTCTATAATTCACAATTAAAATACTACTTATAAATCATTCCAAACAGGTTTACGAGCGTTGAACCACTCCACTTTTTTATGGTTCATTTTCCTTTGCTTCTCTAAGCCACACCTTTCATTAAATTTATTGGTGAAAAATAATTTATTTACTTAAGCCTGCTGATGCTATTTTATTTATGAAGTAATATCTTTTTTATTTTCAGGATTATATATGAATATTTCTTATTGAATTAAAACAAGTAGTCCAGTGGCAGAACTAGTTCTCAAATATGAACTTTGATGGCACAGTTGACAATCCACAGTTATCCCGTTTATTTAAAAAACAAAAGACCTCCATTTTTTATTTTTGTTTTTATTTTTGGAGCTTTTGTTTTTAAAGAAAATATATATTTGCAGGTCCTTATAGTTTGATCAGATTTTGAATTAGTTTCTTATAGTTTTATTTCTTTTTATTGAATCTTTGTACTCCTCCGGTTCTAAATATAAGACCCTTATACACTAGTATAAGGGTCTTATATTTAGAACCGGAAGAGTAGTTAATTTTGTTAAATTTACAAGTCCTTCGGTTACTAATAACATCGCAAATGCCGTTAACCCATAATGATAGAGGATGATCTGGCAGCGTGCTCCCCCCGCTCCCAAAGTTTGTGTCTCACTCTCTATCACCTGTCTCTCTCATCTGTTGAAGCTAACCACGATCACTTTTATGCTGTTATAATATATCAGAAAGAAGAAGCTCTGATTAGAATCTCATGGGAGGAATTGATGAAATAACACTATAGTGATAAATAATACAGATAATGGGATATTCTCTTAGACAAAGTGATTGTATACTTCTTTCACCTTATATTACTAGGTGGGATTGACAACAGAAATATTTGGGAGAGTTTTATATTAGCTTTTAAAACTCAACACAACCTTCCTACTTTATACAAGATTAAGACTGACCAGCTATAAAAATAAATGGAGTTAAGTATTCGCTAATACTGCATTATAATTTATAGAGAAGGAATCAATAGGTGCTAATTGAGATGATAAGCGGTCTCATCTCTGTAAGAAGAAGAATACTAGTCCGAATTTCAGAAAACGCACTTTATTGGAAGGGTTTTAATCTTAACACTCCCGACTAGTCTCAAATTTAAAGTAACTTGAGGATACTCTAACTCTCTAAGCTACACACAAAAAAAAAAATTTATAGAAAAGAAAAATTCATGCTACAGGATATCTTGCAAAAAGCAGCTTACCCATGTTGATGAGGAGCAGGATCAGTCGAAGAGGTGGTCCTTCTTCATTCCTTCCGGGTGTCATCGAGCTCATCGTGTTTATCTTTAACAGATGAGAGAGACAAGTGATAGAGAGAGAGACACACAAACGTGGAGGCGAGTGCACTGCCAAATCATCCCCTATCATTATAGGCTAACGGTCGTTGCAATATTACTGACGAAAGGACCTATAAATTTAATAAAATTAACTATAATGATTCAATAAAAAGAAATAAAATCATAACGACCTAATTCAAATATAAGGACCTGCAAATATATTTTTGCTTTTTAAAATAACAAAACGCCATGGCTTATTCACAAGACAGCGTTATCCCATATTTATGCTAATTATTTTTCACCAATAAATTTAATTATGAAGGGTGTGGATAAGAGAAGTATAAGGAAATTAACCACTAAAGTAGTATATGGTTAATCCTTTAACCTTGTACAAAATTTTAATTTAATTTTTTAATTTTAAAAAATATATTTTTAGTTTTTTAAACGTAATACTGTTAACAAAATTTAATGATATTGAAATCTTAAATGTTAGTAAAATATTTTTAAATACTAACATATCAAATTTAATTTTAAAATAACTATAATTTTTAAAAAAATTATTATTTAAGACTAATAATTTTAAAATTAAAAAACTAAAATTATATTTTAAAAATCAAGACATCAAAGAAGGGAGGCTGAGTACTGGGGAGGGATGAAGAACTTTATTTCTTTTCAGCCTGGCAACCTCACTCTCGTCACAAATCCAGGAAGTAAATTTTCAGCCATTGACTCGTATTTTCCCCCAGTAAATTTAAATGAAGGGTCTGGATTACAAACACGGAAGGGGGAAATAGACCACGAAGAAGTGGAGAGGTGGGACCCCGGCCCTGCTGGACTTCTCTATCATGTGAACTGTTTCACTAATGTTATTGTACTACACTACCTTTTTTCTCTCCGGTCATTATTGTTTGTCCCTCGAAGCCCCAAAATTCTTGAGATGAGCATTAATCACTGGAAACTTCTTTTGTCATTTTGTTCCACAGCCAACTGAAGACCACAAATTCCCCTAATTTCACTTTATGTTCCCTATAATTGACACCATATTTTCATAATTTTTTAAGAAAAGTTGCAGATATGAAAGCATGGCGTTAATGATGAAAGTTATTTCTTTTTGTGAAAAAATTTTATATTTTTAGGGGAAAAAGTCTTTTTTCCTTAAAAATATGTCATGTTTTCAAGAAAAATTGCGATTATGCAGTGCTATGAGAAACTCGTCACTTTCTTTTTGAAGTATGGGGGATATGGTTAATGGAACGAGAAAAAACAAAGGCAATATATTATTATTATTATGCTATTTATCACTTTCTTTCGCATGTCATGCTATTTTAGTTCTATTTATAAGTTACTTCTAATATATTTTAAATAGACAAAAAAAAACTTTAAATTTCATTAACTTTTATTTAAAATTTAACAACTTTTCAACTTTATCTCTATTTAATATATATTATACTTTATCTAAAAAAATTAATATAATAATAAATAAAAGGTAAAATTATACATTCATACAAAAAATTTCTCTCAGTACCTTATAAACAAGACAAGAAATATCTTCTTTTTTACCCTATAAATAGGACCAGAGGAGTACTTCTAATCCTATTATTTAAATATGATATTGACAAAAAAATACAAGATATTTAAAAATGAATAAAAGTGTAATTTTATCTCTAATTTTATTTCTCATATGCAATTTTATTCCTGGCCTTTTTAATGATGCTATTTTACTCATAATTTTTTATATAAGTTTATTCATTATTTCTTTTGATGTGATTTTTACCCGAGAAATAAAATTGCACTTCTAGAAATATCAAATATCAAGATATTTTTCTGATTTTATTTATAAGTCAGTTTTAGCATTTTTCACATAAGTTGAGAAAAACTTTAAATTTTATTAGTTTTTTTTTAAAATTTAATAATTTTTTAACTTTATTCCTATTTAATATAAACTATATTTATTTACACAATAATAAGTTGATGGCAGATGAAGAAGGCGGCGAGAGCCTTCATGAGAGAGGCCAAGTGGCTCAATGAAAGCTACACACCAACAACAGAACAGTAACTTGAGGCAGCAATGATAACTTCTTGTTATTCATTGCTCTCAACAATATCTTTCTTTGGGTTGGGACATCTTGCCACTGAGGACATGTTCAAATGGGTTACAAGTCAGCCTAAGCTTGTCAAAGTTTCTTCCCTTATTTGCAGAGCCATGGACGACATCGTCTCTAATGAGGTACTTAATTATATGACATATACATAATTAAAATGAAGATCCTTTAATTTGGTGATTTTGAAACCTTTTAATTTGTGTGCGACCAGTTTGAGCAGATCAAAAGACGGCACGTTGTGTCGGTTCTTGACTGCTATATGAGGGAACATGGTGTGACAAGGCAAGAAGCCATTGAAGAGTTTCGTTGGGTTGTTAATAATGCGTGGAAGGACATGAACGAAGAACTCCTTGGACCTTTGGAAGTGGACAGGCGTTCTCTGATGCCATCTCTGAACTTAGCTCGTGTTATGGACATGCTTTGCAGAGAAGAAGATAATTACAATCATGCCAAAGGCATCATGAAGAATTCCATTACAGCTTTGTTGGTGGATCCTGTGGCTATATGAGCATCAACCTCGTTGTTGTCATATATTTATACTATTTCCAGTCTTTAATATAATATCTAGTTAACTAGCTAGATTTTATATTAAGGACCGGAAGTAGTAGTTTATAGTCTCCTTATTCATTATACATATTGTTGGAGTAGTATTAGATTTTGGTTAATAAAAAATTGGGTGTTAATCATTTAGCTACTATCCCAAGTCTATATAAAGGATTATGGGCCTGGGAGTAATATAGAAAGGCTGGATCCTCACCTAGAGAAAGGTTAACTTGGTCCCTTCTCATATGTCCATGCTGGCGCACGTTAATGCACCCTTTAAACAAGGGCATAATTGTTTCTATGTTCGTCACTTTTACAATTAGAGGGTTGATTGTTATTTGTATTGTTTGATCTTAGCATTTTATTAATAAAAAAAATATGTTCTTTTTCCCTCTTATCTCATGTGATTAACACACATGACCCAATACGAAGGATAATGAATAAAATTAATCTGTACTCCTTGCCATTTTTAATATGTATAAGAGCTATTTAATTAATTTAAATAGATTAAGAAACTCACATAAATTAGTTGATAAAAACAAATTATCTACGTGTAATATTATATTATGTATTAATTTATAAGTTACTAAATTAGTTGAAAAAAATAATAAATATAAAAGATAAAGTAAATTGATATTCTATATTTTACACCAATCTAACTTCTAGCTAACTCGTATATTTGATACTTTTGGATAATTTTTTTTTGGTCCAAATCTTCTTGGGATCTTGATGCCCTACTTTAATTTATAATACTGTCATGTGATTAATATTTGAGCTTTACCCTTTCTTATTGTAAGAAAAGAAAAAACACAGAAGAAGAAAAAGAAGATCACGACGAAGAATTAAACTTGACGGCACTGACATTTTCTATGGGCAACAAAATCTGAGAAAAGCTAATGAAATGTTAAAAAAAATCACTGCCACTTATTAATTTATGTTAATAGCTTCTCTATACTTCAGGCAAATAATTGTCGATTTCGGTCATTCTTAACTTCAATTAGTTATATTAACTTAACCCCTTAGTTTGATTAACCTAACCACGCCTCAATTATTCTTAATAATTGTGCGATTCAATTTAAAAGGATGAAAATGACAGTAACTGAGTTGGTGAGGTTTGAGTGCGTTTTCGCATCATTGTGATATATCTAAATCATCGTCCCAACCTAATTTATATGATTTAAATTTGAAAATTATAATTAGTTAACTTTTTGTTTTCAGAGAATAAAATGTTACATTTTGATAAGCGATTGTTAAGAAAATAATATTTATTTATTTTGAATTTTATAATTATTAAAAATGTGCAAATAATAATATACGGATGACCAAGAGTTATCCATTGGCATTATTAACTAAATTCTATTGGAAGAATGAGAACGGCTAGACTATGATGAACATAAGGCCAAAGAGAGAGCTTATTCTAAAAGATTAGTCTATTAGGAGGGAGAATTCATTGAACTTATAAACCCTACAACATTGGTGTGATTGGCTTCATTCTATGGCACTTCACTCGGTCTTCTTATCGGTCAGAAGACTCCACAGTTAGCCCTTTCTTGATTGGTCGACTCTCAATGAAAGCACCAATGTGATAAGTATAAACCTAAGAGGAAAGCTCAATCTCAAAAGACCAGCATGTTTGGAGGGAGAACCCCTTGAACTTGTAAACCTCACAATACTTGTGAGATTCCCTAATGTGGGACTCATAACATACGCATCCCAACTATATTTGCTTTTGATTGACAAAATTAAATAAAAACTTTTTATAGTCATTAAGTGACTTTTAATGATAAGAAAATTAATTTAGTTTTTTTTTTGGTGTATGTAAAAACAAACTGCGTGTTTATGTTTTTTCACGCTAATACCTCGAAAAATCATTATAAGTCTAAAAAAATATAATTATCAGAAGGTTCCTATGATAAGCGGATAGCATAAATTATGTTGTCATGGTACTGGAAACATATCATTCACTTGTTATAAAAAATTTTAGTAATTACCATATTTTTTTCTGAATCACGTAATGGTTTTTCTCTTATATTTTCTTTTAAAAAAGGAATTTTGTTTATACATATAAAATTGTTTTTTTTTTCAATGGCCTTTCGTGGCTTCAACTTAGCTCCGAGACAAGACATCACTAATTCAGAAGATAATTGTTTTTTTTATAAAAATTACTTTTGGGCCAGAAACGATTATAATGTGTGCTCTGAATTGTTAGCACGGCTCCAAATAGGAAGGATCTCGGCCCGACAATATCAGACGATGGGTTAGTTAAAATCCCTGGGGCCCACTTTGTTGGCACTCGCAAAAGCCCATTCACCTTTTTAGTGTGGCATATCCTCATTTCATAGTTCTGGTCAGTACACAATATTTTTACTGTAATCTTTGCACTTTTTTTTCCTTTCATTTTCCTTCGCTTTTTATCCCGATCATAACATTACAATTTTCAGGCTCTGTTAATTAGCCCTCACACTAATTTATGATGAAAATGAAATGAGGGGCAATATATTTAACAGAAATAATAAATTGAAAGAAATTAAAATAGTAAGAGAATAATTTTAAGAAAAAAATTTAGGTTAGATTACTTATATCCATTATATCAAGTTTTTTTTACCATACATCATTATATGTCCTTTTTTATTTTATATGAATTTATAATTAAATGCTATTAAATGCTAATATTTTAAAAATAGGACATTGTGATCAGAAAACTTGACGTAATAAATATAAAAAACTTTATATGAGTATTGCCCCAATTTTAACATGCCATTGCTTTCCTAAACATGAAATATTAAATGATTATATAACTTATCACCCAAAAAAATTACTTATATAACTACTTGTCTAGAAAGAATACGCGCGCTTCATTATATTTCATGAAGTCTCATTTAAAAATGGCATGCTATTTCATATCTTTGCAATTAAATTCTATTTGATTAAATGCTTTTTCAATTAAATTATTTGAATGAAATTGATGCTGAGCACAAGTTTTTAAACAACTGTTAATTGCTTAACGAACAACTTAGGGTGTGTTTGGATGAAACCAAACCGTGGTTTGGAAAAGTGATTCTGGAGAATAGATTCTGGGGAAAATAGATTCTGTGAAGAATAGATTTTGTAAAAAAGTGATTCTGAGAAGTGAGAGTGTTTGGATAGTTGTTATCAGAAGCACTTTTTATATATACAAATTACTAAAAAAAAGACATAAGTTAATATGATAATTACAGAAAAAATATATTTTATGATATATTTTAATTTGAAGGAATAAAAAAAAGACATAAGTCAATGGAAGAAGAATGGATAATTTTTCACACATCTAGTGTCTTCCTTAACGAATCAGTCTAGGATAAAATCTAACTCACATTCTTAATAAAAACACTAGATAATTAACTCATTAAAATAAAAAAATTAGTTAAATTAGTTATTTATAATAAATTTTTGTTGGTTTTTTTAGAATGCACTTTTTAATCCTATGCATTTAACTACTCCTTTAAGTTATAACAAATTTTACATTTAGTTGTTATATTTAGGAGAGGAGGTACTAATTAGAAAAATAAAATGAGGTGTGCCCATCTATTTCTTTTAACTTTTTCACGAGTGACCCGCCATTTATAAATTGTGACAAACGTGCGTGGATTCTAATCCGCCAGGTGAGAGGAGCAAATTAATTAAGAAGAATAATTTAATGAATTGATGCTTTGACTTTTCCTATAAATACCCACACATACCCTACACTGTGGCTACACTCAACCTCAAGGTCGACATATAGTACGAAAAACCTTGTCTTCCTTTTTAAGGACATAGACTCACGAGATGTCTATCGTTGCTGCTTCAACGACCCTTGTTCCTTCTTCATCAACCCATTTGCGTCGACATCTTGCAGATTATCATCCTACTCTTTGGAAGGATTATTTCCTTCAATATGCTTCCCAATCTTTGGTATATACTTGAAGCTCTCTCTCTCTCTATATGTATATATATACTTCTTGTTATCTTGGTTTACTTGATAATGATGAGTTGCTTAAAAACTGTGTAGGAAGTTGATGAAGAAATGGGGAAACAAGTTGAAACAGTGAAAGAAGAAGTGGGGAAGATGCTCATATCTCCAATGATGGAGAAGCCCTTAACCAAAGTACTTGAACTGATTGATTCAATTCAACGCTTGGGGTTGTCGTACCATTTTGAACATGAGATCCGTGAACTATTGAAGCAAATTCACAACAGTTACGTGCAAAATAATGAAACTGTAACTCATACTGATGATCTCTATTCCCTCGCTCTACTCTTTAAGCTACTGAGGCAAGAAGGATATCCCATTTCACCTGGTATATGTGTGTGTATATGTGCGCGCGCGTATGCTACTATGAGTTTAATTTGCTTCCTTCAATATATATGTTTTATTAATAACTAAATATATAAACGTATATTTCATTAATTACCATGTATAAGATATGTTCAACAAGTTCAAGGATGCGCAAGGAAGCTTCAGTGAAAAGATAGCATCAGATGTTGAAGGGATGTTGAGTTTGTACGAAGCCTCGCATCTCAGTGTCCATGGAGAGGACATTTTAGACGAAGCGCTTGCTTTCAC